TAACAGTGTAGTTCCACATCATCATTTTTAAGGCCTACATAGCATTCCATTGTATGGCTCTACTTTAATCAACCCCTTATGGATGGTGAAGTGATTTTTAACAGAAGAAAACAGACATCTGCTAAAAACTTTTAAACGCTTTGGATGGAAAATGTTTTTTTTAATCTTCAAAAAAATATTTAGAAGTGGTAGTGTGTATCTTGAATCTCAGACATAGTTTTAACATCTTGTAAATAATATTTCCAGATTCTTAACAAAATGTGAATCATTTTTTAGGAGCTGTTGGACAAATATCTTATTCCCAATGCTACACAACCAGAAAGTAAGGTGTTCTACTTGAAAATGAAAGGAGATTATTTTAGATATCTTTCTGAGGTGGCTTCTGGAGACAATAAGCAAAGTAAGTAACATTAAAAAAGAAAAGAAATTTGAGCACTAGTGGAGTCAGTTTTCCTTTATAATTTTAACAGTTTTTTCCTTGTCTGTTCACTGTAGACACTAACATCACAGCACTCAGACCACAGCATGGTGCTGACCTGTGTGAAAGCACTTCATGTGTTTAGTCATAAAGTGGGTTGACAGATCAAAATGTATCTAAGGGAAGATAGGGAGGGCATTAAAAGTCTGGTGCAGTCCTAACCAGTTTAGCTCAGTGGATAGAGCATTAGCCTGTGGACTGAAGGGTCCCAGGTTCAATTCCGGTAAAGGACACATACCTCAGTTGCAGGCTCCATCCCCAGTCCTGGTTGGAGAGCTTGCAGGAGTCAACCAATTGATATGTCTCTCTCACATCATTGTTTTCCTCTCGCGCCCTCCCCTCTCTTTAGAGGTGAAACTTGACCATGAAAGCACCATATAAAAAGTGATGCATCTCTTTTATCTCATACATGTATTACTGTGGTGGTGATAAGTATAGCTGTGTTTTATTAAGTGCCTATTATGTGCCAGATATTATAGAGTCTCATTTATTCCTTACACAACCTTGGGAGTTTGGGTGGAAGTCTGTTCATTTTTCCGATAAGGAAACCAAGGCTACAAGAAGTTTTCACTTCAAGCCACACACCTAGTGAATAAGAGCTGGTAATTCAAGTTTGGGTTCAAAGTCCATGACCTTTCCACTAGAGCATATTTTTTATGTTCTATCTTGTTAAAGGTTATTTCTGTATTTCTTACTGCCTTAGTGGGCTTTGTCATGCTTGTCTTTGTTTCCCCCCAAAGCATTTCATGTAGTACTTAACTTAGAACAAACATTTAGCAAATGATTGTTAATCAAATGGTGGCGTCACTGACCATTTAATCCAGCCTAGTTTGGTAAAATAATTTGATAGTTGTCCAGTATGTGATGCAGCCTCTGAAAGAACCCAACCTTTTAATATTTTTTTTTATCTTTCTTTTAGCCACTGTGTCGAACTCTCAGCAGGCTTACCAGGAAGCATTTGAAATTAGTAAGAAAGAAATGCAGCCTACACACCCCATTCGACTTGGCCTGGCACTGAATTTCTCAGTGTTTTACTACGAGATTCTGAACTCTCCTGAAAAGGCTTGCAGCCTGGCGAAAACGGTGAGAAAGGCCCTCTGGTTTCTGATCAGAGTAAAACAGTGCTGTTCTTCTTAGTTACTTATTTCCTGAATATAACTCATTGTCTTGGACTATTTTCATAAAATATATACTTAAGTATATATTTTATGAAATAAATTCAGACCTACTTTTTGATTTCTTCTTAACACCTGCTATTTTGTGTTTTATTTTTGTTGTTTAATTAGTATTTGAGGGTGGGGTTATGGAAAAGTCAGAGTGAAGGTAGTTTGTTTTTCTTGTCAAGCTTTGGGTTGTAGAATTTGGAAAAGTGTGTGAAGTGAATTCTCAAAGTTCCATTGCATAATTGAATCAAAGTTCGTGGTGTGAATTTCTGTTCTCCCTTGATCCCTTGTATCCAGACCTTTTGAGTTGTAGTGTTTTTTGTTTTGTTTTTGGTTTGGGGTTTTTTTTGTTGTTGTTGTTTTATTTGTTTTCTTAAAGGATTACTAGAAATGTCTTTGGTAATTAAAAAATTACATGAATTTGGCCCTGGCCGGTTTGGCTCGGTGGATAGAGCATCGGCCTGCAGACTGAAGGGTCCCAGGTTCAATTCCGGTCAAGGGCATGTACCTTGGTTGCGGGCATATCCCCAGTGGGGGTTGTGCAGGAGGCAGCTGATCGATGTTTCTCTCGCATCGATGTTTCTAGCTCTCTATCCCTCTCCCTTCCTCTCTGTAAAAAATCAATAAAATATATAAAAGTAAATAAATAAAAAATTACTTGAATTTGCCTAGAATGAATTCTGTATTAACAGTGATACCTGCTGACTTATCTAAGAATTTTTGTCATTGTTGGTGCTTTATAAGCATTCATTATATGTTTGCTGAAACCGTTAGCAAACAAGGTAATAATGGCCTAGGTTCTCCCAAAGTGCTGGACAGGCTAAATTATATTCCTTTGTTAGCAGGAAAAAATTGGACTAAATGTGCTCCAGAGAACCTGTGATTTCGTTGCTAAAGACTCTTTGTTGTAGGCATTTGATGAAGCAATTGCTGAATTGGATACACTGAATGAAGAGTCGTACAAAGACAGCACACTGATCATGCAGTTGCTTAGGGACAATCTCACTGTAAGTACTACTGGTTTCAGTGACTGCTTTTGGAGGGTTCATGGTCTACTCACCCACCTCATAATTCACTATTGCCCAAGACCCAAGAGAGTTTTGTACCTTGTAAGTATAGTTAATATTTTAAAGTGTTAAATTGGTTCAATTTAAGTGTTGAATGAGTACTAAAGTTTTGACCTTTTTAGTCATCACTGTTGGCACTCATACAGGAAGAATTTTAAACAGTCGAGGGAGAGATAAGGTGCTACAGATGGGAAACCGCTGAGAGTACATTTTAGTAGCCCTGCTTTGATCATAACTCTGTTTTTCTCTTGCAGCTGTGGACGTCGGAAAACCAGGGAGATGAAGGAGATGCTGGGGAGGGAGAGAACTAATGTGTATTGTGCTCCGTGATCTGTTCAGTGTCACTCTGTACCCTCCAAATATATCCCTTTGTGCGATAAAAAAAAAAAAAAAAAGAATCGTACATTGACTTTTCGATTTTTCACAGCCTCAGCCTAGCAAAAATGGTCCATGGGATAAACAGCTGGTATTTGTATCTTAAACTCAAATTGGTCATGTAAATGCCACGGCATTCTGAAGTTTTGATTTTTAACATTGACAGGATTACTGTGTGTTTAATTTTTTAAAAAACTGAACACTGTGATTATGGGGTTTTGTAACTAAGCAGAACTCTTACTGGTAGAAAAAATAGACCTGAATTATCTGTAACTTTTGGGAAAGTTTAAACAGTCACTGAAATACTGCTCCATTGTACAGTTGTACAGAAAGTTGTAGTGATTATATTGTGATGCTGGGACTTGGAGTGAGATACCTGCCATTTCGCATTCGAGTTTAATGGCAATTCACAGTAATTATGCCTGTTCAGGGCTTATAGACACTTGACCAGTTGGGGCTCTTGCCACTCAAAAGTTCATGACCAGTGTCTTCCTCTGAGGAAACTCGAAGTCGAAAATTGAAATTCTTTGTGGCAGTTAACTGGGTTATGACACCATGAGAAGGTCCAGTGCTCATACAACACACATGACTAAAACCCCTGTCCTACAACAATGTCACTGATTTGCAACTTGTGCTTCAGTCGTGGAATCTTATTTTCCTTGTAACCATGAGCTAAAGAAGAAAGCAAGCCGTGTATCTTATGAATGGCCTTATCTGTCTCCTGGGTAATAACTTTATGAATAATGTTCTGCAGAGATTGCCTTTCACACGAGGAGTGCTCAGTCTTTGGGTTCTTCCTAGCTCCGGGCTTTTAAATTTTGAAATCTAAGCGTTCTTTCCCACTGTCTTTTTGACTGTTGACTTTTTTTTTTCTCTTCCTTTTTAAGTTTCTGTCCTGCTGCTTTACCTTTTCTTTTCTTTTTGAAGTTTATCTTTATTTTTCTTTTGTTCACAGTTTAATACTATATGGACAGGGATAGGAGGCCTGGAGGGGGTGAGAAGGGAAATTGGTGAGCACTTTGGTGAGCAGACCTTGTTTCAGTCAAGAAGAGCTTCCAGCACCGTAGCTCTGTCTTCCTCCAGTTTTCAGCACAGTTGTTCTTCCGTCACACCAAGATCTGAATCAAAAAGTATTTTTAAATATCCATGACTCCTCCCTGTATTGACAGCCAGCCCTGATAATGCTTGTTGGTACCTGATCTCCCAACTGTACTCATCCAGCCAAGTTCACAGACGTGTTTAAACAAGACCCTCTGATGCAGGAAAGTTGCATGATCACTGCATTGGGGAGAATCCAGAATACCCAGGCCTACCAGTCTCACAGTATCCCCCCTCTCTTTAACATTCCACATAGCTGTAGTATCCATCTGTTTGTCCATCTGCTGAAATGAGAAAAGAAACCTTCATGCACTGATGAAAACAAACCAAAAAAAAAAAAAAATCCCTCCTTTCTAGCTGAACAAAAATGTGCAGTTAAATACTTGGCGCTTGAAAATGCAGTAGTGAACGTGGAACGAGCCTGTCTGTATATCTGGTAGCTCTTTCTTGCTTTGTTTTTCCTTACCAGTATTCTGCCTCACGTTTGCTTCTGTGATGGTTATATTGCCTAGCAAGCACACCCGTGGTTGTGAAAATAGTATAGTAAAAAAAGAAAAATCCCCGGTTATTGATGTACTAGATTTGTGTATGTCTTTTAAACAGTTCTAGTTTCCACCTTACACGGAATAATCAGGAAACGTGTAAAAATTCAAAAGTGAAATAAAAAATTTTATCAGTTAGTTGCCTGTGTATTGATGTGTGACACCATTTCTATCACTACCAGAATTAGCTAACTTTTTTTTATCACTCATTTTAGGCTCTACTCTTTCTTTAAAAGTAGGCAACAGCTTTATGTCATCCTTTAGAACTTGAAGTCAAGGTGTTGTCAAAGGAAAGAAATTACCATTAATACAAAGCCTACCCACCTTATATAAACCACTTTAGGTCTTTGGGAGCTTCTAAAATTTGGTGATGCCAGTGGATTTTGCATCCCATTCAAGTCTCTTCCCCCCTTCTCCCCCCTCCACCTCCTTTTTTTTTTTAAACCCTGAGATGTAACCAAGACAGTGAGGTGGTTACATAAGGCCTGGCCACCTCCAAAGTAATAGTCTGTCATCTGTCTCAACACTATGGTAGCCAGTAGCTCTGTGTATCCTCATGGGGTTTCCCACAAGGAGAGGAAAATGATTGGGAGGAGGGAGTAATTTCTAGCCCAAGATTAGAATTGATTGGTGCCTTCTTGCTACTGTCGGCTGGGCAGTCAGACCAGCTCCTGCCCCTGGTTCTGGAGCTGTTCCACCTTTCAGAGACACACCCAGCCAAAGGTCAGTGGGACCTGCTTTGTTGCAGCAGGGGAATCTGAAGGGTCCGCCCCTCCTAGAGGCCAGGTGAAGTACTGTCCCACATGGATTGGAATTCTTCAGAAATGACTCTACCGCACAGATCGAATCTGCAAACTCAAGATTGCTGGAAGGGTCTTGCTGCTCCGCTTGGGACCACCGCCCTAACTGCATCGGGACCTCACTGTTCCTTAGAGTAACTTGGTGAGCCTTCCTAGTGGTGTGCAGGTGGAGTGGGTCCTTAATGAGAAAGAGGTGGGCAGGGAATATCCCAGGGAGAGGTCTATGCAAACTACATAGGAGGCAATGTCGAAGAACGCCTTCGTGGTCTCGAATCCCACATGGAGCCTTCAGTCCCAAGCCACAAAGCTGGTTCCAGAGGGTGGGGCTAGATTGGGCTGCCTTGAGAAAAAGACTTCAGCTGGCTAGGTACACGCCTTTGAAAATAGCCAGGCATCCCGCTCCAAAATGCTCTTGTTTGTAATGCAAACAGGATGTACGGTCTCCTTTAATCCTTACGAAGCGGGAGCTTACAAAGACGGGAATCGGGCCGTAAAGGCAATAACATTGGGGATTACAACTCAGGTTCAGGCCCTCCCAGAGAGCTCAGCTCCACCGCGTCTCTACAGCCCCACCCCAGGCCAGGTGAGGGCTCTCCCGCCTCCGGAGGCTTCTAGAACGCTGAGGGGTCCCAGGTGGGGCCCTAAGAGGGGAGGGGCCGGAGCGTGGGTGATTGGCACGCGGGCGCCGAAGGGTGGTAAAAGAAGGGGCGGCCGCGCAGGGACGGAGAGTCCCTTGCTTCCTGCGCGCCCGCCGCCGCCGAGGTTCCCGCCCGAGTGACGCACGCGGGGCGCGGGGGCCGGCACCTCGTCCCCCCGCCCACCATGAACGCCAGCGGCCCGGGCTTCCCGCTGGCCTCGCTCTACGTGGGCGACCTGCACCCTGACGTGACCGAGGCTATGCTGTACGAGAAGTTCTCGCTTGCCGGGCCCATCCTGTCCATCCGCGTGTGCCGCGACGTGGCCACCCGCCGCTCGCTGGGCTATGCCTACATCAACTTCCAGCAGCCGGCCGACGGTGAGCCCGGGGATGGGGACGGACGGACTGGCGCACGGTGCTCCCACGGCCTCTCGGCCATCCGCTCTGCCATCTCTGCTCCTGCAGCTTCAGTTTTGCAGCCAGGGAAACAGGTCCAGAGATCCCCCTGAGGCCCTGAGCAGGAGCTAGCAATTAGTGTGTGCCTACTGTGTGTTTTCCTGGTGCTCCAGTTTGTAGAGGGGAGACAGTAAGGCCGAGTGGAAACATCCAAGGGCTTTAGGGCCAGGCCAACCGTAGGATTAGGAAGCCAGCAGCTGTGTGACTTTGAGCAAATTACTCAACCATTCTGAGCTTCCCTTGCCTTTCTGAAAAATGGGGAGCGGACCTGCTTGATAGAGGGGTTGGGAGGAGGAGAAAATTCAAAGCACCTGGTGAGGACGATGTGGGAGGCGACATAGGTAACGAGTAGGGATGCCAGGGGAGCTGGGGCTCGGGCTCTCCCGGCTGCTGACACCAGGTCTGCACCAGGCGCTTTTCCCTTGGCAAGCCCAGAAAAACCGCCTCCACCTTCTCAGAGCTGATGGGATTGACTAGCGCTTGCGGGGTGGGTGTGCCCACACCTCTGGTGAGAGTTTAAGAGCCCCGGTTTTGTTCAAGTTTTTCCACTAGGGTGTGAGCTTGAGCAAAAGTTCACACTTGACACTTCATCTGTGAAATGGGAGCTAAGGCTTGGAAGGAAAACTGTCTATGAAGGCGCTCCAGTTACAGCGGTTCTCAATCTGTGGGTCGCGACCCCTTTGGCGGTTGAACGACCCTTTCACAGGGGTCGCCTAAGACCATCCTGCATATCAGATATTTACATTATGATTCATAACAGTAGCAACATTACAGTTATGAAGTAGCAACGAAAATAATTTTATGGTTGGGTCACAACATGAGGAACTGTATTTAAAGGGCCAGAAGGTTTGAGAACCACTGCATGGGCTCAATAAGTGTAACCTAAGAAAAAAAAAAAAGTAACCAGCATTCAGGTGCAAGACTCCAGAAACAACCCAAAAAGGCTTACTCTGCGTCTGCTGGGTGGATGGGGAGGTTCCCCTCCAGCTGGGGGTTTGCTGGGGTGGTTCAGCCTGTTTCCCAGGGGATGACTGAGCTGGATTCCCAGGGGACTTCTCCTTTGCTCTGCTTTCCCCACCCACTGCCATTTCCAGCTTTCTCCAAGTTCTGCACACCTGACCTTTGGCCAGACTTCATAGATGGGGGAGCTGAGCTCCAGAGAGAAGGGGTTTAGCCCTGGGTGTTCATTGGTAGAACTCGATGGAAAAACCAGACTCCACTGAGTTCTGCACAGTTCCTGTCCATGCCTCTGAAGGTAGAGGAATCCTTTAAGGAGCGGACAGCATGTTACCGGGCAGAGGTAAAGGCCATAGCAGTCCAAGAGGACAGGCATAGGCTGCTGTTTTCAGACACACTGCCTTTTGCCAACCATCTGTTTTGTGCCAGGTGCTAAGGACAAGGCACCTCGCATACCTTTTTAAAAAAGAAGAAGGGATTTCAGAGAAGAAGGGAGAGGGAGAGATAGAAACATCAATGATGAGAGAGAATCACTGATTGGCTTCCTCCTGCACGCCCCCTAGTGGGGATCGAGACCACAACCCTGGCATGTGCCTTTTGCCGGAATCGAACCCAGGACCTCCCAGTCCGCAGGCTGACACTGTGTCCACTGAGCCAACCCGGCTAGGGCGGCACCTTGCATACCTTATTTAATTTTCAGCCTGTCCAACAACCTAGAGGTAGGTGTGAAAGGGTGGTTAATATCATCATCATCATCATCATCATCACTACTTTAGAGGAAGAAACCAGCTCAGAGAGGTGATGTTTGCCTCCCCCAACATCCTACTACTTGGGATCAAATCTCAACTCTGCTGCTCAGCACCTCTGAGCTTGAATTTCCTCTGACTGCTGCCACCGTTTGTCATAGAGGCCCTCCTTTACATTTTTATCTACTCGGTGTGCTTTAGAGACCACAGTAGACCTGGCTCTGCCACTGATCTTTCCCCTTTCTGAACCTCAGTTTTCCCTTCTGTAAAATGGGGGTAGAAATCCATGCTCACGGGGCTATAGTGAGGAGTTGAATGAGATCCTAAAAAGTGGGAGGAGTTCCATACACTAATTCTTATCCCTCCTGAGCCTTCAGGCTCTATCTCCAGTGAGACCCAGACACTGGCTCTTTTTTTTTTTTTTTTTTTTTTTGGAAGGAGGCTCCCAATTACCAGTAAGCATCTGAGGGCTCAGGGAGTCCCCTTAACTTGCTCCTTTCTCTCCTCCTTCTGTCCAGCGGAGCTGGCACTGGATACAATGAACTTTGAGGTTATCAAAGGCCAACCCATTCGCATCATGTGGTCCCAGCGAGACCCAGGACTTCGAAAGTCGGGTGTGGGCAACATCTTCATCAAGAACCTGGAGGAGTCCATTGACAACAAGGCCTTATATGATACCTTCTCCACCTTTGGAAACATCCTGTCTTGCAAGGTTGGTGTGCCCTCTTGAGGGGGTCTGGGTCAAGGACCTGTGTGGTAGAGGTATTCCAAGCAGCACCTCACTTTATAGTATATGAGGTCTTTTCAGTTAAGCTCTAAGTTCAGCAAGGACCGGAATGGAAGTAATGCTTTCAGTTTCATCTTCACATACCTATCAGAGGCCACCTGTGTTTCAGTCTGCTCTTGCTGTGTAACCACCCCAAAGCTGAGTCACTGTCAGCAGTCATTACTTAGCTTATAATTCTGCAGGTGGTGATTTGGGCTGAGTTCAGCTGAACAGGTCTGGCCTTGGCTGGGCTCCTTCACGTGCCTACGGAGAGCTGGGTGGCTCTGCTTCTAGGCAGTGGTTGGCTGTTCGCTGGCACACCTCAGCTTTCCTCCCTATGGTCTTTCATCCTCCAGCAGGCTAGCCCGTGGCAATGGCAGGGGCCTGGAGGACAGAGTGGAAGCTCACCAGGCCTCTTGCGATCTAAGCTTGGAACTGGCACACAGTCACTTCCAATGCATTCTATTTGCCAAGCAAGTCACAAGACCCAATTCAGAGTGGACATAGAAATTATAGGACAACGAGTGTGGATGTAGGAAGGATGTTAATTGAGGTCATCATTGCAAGCAACAACCACATCTTGTTTTTAAGATTTCTCTTATAATAGAGTGGAAGTTTCATAAGAGTAATGATCTTGTTTTTATTTACCTTTGTATCCTGGTACCTAGAATAAGATTGGCACATAGTAGATGGCTCAATAAATATTTAGTTCCATTTTCCCCAGTCAGCTGACACTTTAAGAGTTTAAGAATTTCCTGAAAGAGTCAAATGGGAGTTCCATTTTTAACTTTATGAGGAAACGCCATACTGTTTTCCACAGTGGCTGCACCAGTCTGCATTCCCACCAGCAGTGGACTAGGGTTCCCTTTTCTCTACATCGCCAACACTGTTGATTTGTTGTTGATAGCCATTCTGACAGGTGTGAGGTGATACCTCATTGTTGTTTTAATTTGCATCTCTCGGATGATACTTTGAGCATTTTTTCATATGTCTCTTGCCTTCTGTATGTCCACTTTGGAGAAGTATCTATTTAGGTCCTTTGCCCAGTTTTGAATTGGGTTGTTTGTCTTCCTTTTGTTAAGTTGTATGAGTTCCTTATATATTTTGGAAATTAACTCTTTAATCAGATGTATCCTTGGCAAATATATTCTCCCATGCAATGGACTCTCTTTTCATTTTGTTGATGTTTCTTTTGCTGTGCAGAAACTTTTTATTTTGATGTAGTCCCATTTGTTTATTTTCTCCTTGGTTTCCTTTGTCCTAGGAGATGTATTGGTAAATATATTGCTACAAGAGATGTCTGAGATTTTACTGCCTATGGTTTCTTCTGCTAGGATTTTTATGGTTTCATGACTTACAGTTAAGTCCTTTATCCGTTTTGAGTTTATTCTTGTGTATGGTGTAAGTTGGTGGTCTAGTTTCATTTTTTCTTTTTTGCATGTACCTGTCCATTTCCCAACACCATTTATTGAAGAGACAGTCTTGACTCCATTGCATGCTCTTGCCTCCTTTGTCAAATATTAATTGAGCATAATGGCTTGCATCAATATCTGGAGTCTCTGTTCTGTTCCACTGATCTATATGCCTGTTCTTGTGCCAGTATAGGCTGTTTTGAATACAGTAGCCTTGTAGTATAACTTGATATCTGGTATTGTGATTCTTCCAACACCAATCAGAAAGAATGTATGCACCCCATGTTCATAGCAGCATAATTTACAATAGCCAAGATTTGGAAACAGCCTAAGTGCCCATCAGCAGATGAGTGAATAAAAAAGCTGTGGTACATCTATACAATGGAATACTACACGGCGGTAAGAAAGAAGGAACTCTTACCATTTGCAACAGCATGGATGGACCTGGAGAGTATTATGCTAAGGGAAATAACTCAGTCAGAGAAAGATAAGTGTCACATGATCTCACTCATATGTGGAATCTAATGAAGAAAATAAACTGATGAACAAAATAGATCTAGAGACATAGAAGCAGGGAACAGACTGATGAATTTCAGCGGGAAGGCAGAGATGGGTGGGCAGAGGTTAACCAGGGGGAATTTATATGCATATATGCATAGCCGATGGACACAGACAATAGTGTGGTGAAGGCCTGGGAGGGGTGGGTGCAGGGAGGAGGGGGTCAGTGGGGGGGAAAAAACCACAAAGGGGACATCTGTAATACTTTCAACAATAAAGATAAATTTTTAAAAATTGATCATAAATAATAATACAAAAAAAAAAATTTCTTGGAAGGGTTCTTATGGTTACTACAACAAGGTAAGTATGCAATACCCTTAGCAGGTATTTGGCCCCAAAACGGGGACCCAGTCAACGTGGTTGAATTTGAAAGGAAGCTGGGGCTTGAATTGAAAGTGGGGGACCCTGTTTGGGGCTGGAGAGTGGAGGAGGGTATGCTGGGCCTAGATTTGGACGAATACTAGTGCAGGGCCAATTAACACATTGTATGCGGGAAACGTATTTATACGTTTTTCATAGACTAGCGGTAGAATGCGGGTAACGTATAAATACGTAAACTAAAGTTATCATAATTTTACTGAATGTTGCCATTTGCGCAAAAAATTAGCAAAAATGGCCTGTGCCACCTGTTAGCACGCGATGAAAACTACCCACAAACAATGTGTTAAAGAGCCTCAAATGTCAAGTTGATCTAGTTCTGTGGACGGCTGGAGCTACTGGAAGTGAGGTCCCAATGGGACACCGTCACAGTCCCATTTTAGAGAAAGCATCCCAGGGGTCAGCATGCAAGTTGGGTTGGGAGGCTGGGGTGGTCATCTAGGCAAAGGCCACTTCATTGAGCTGGGGCACCGGCTGCAGGGTGAGTGGAGCTAGGGACACCCTGAAATGGGCATTAGTGGCCTTCGTGCAAGTTCAACCAGAGGGATGGGAACTACATGACCTGAGGATTTTTCCCATTCTCAAGCTCTGTCCTTCTCATTTGAGTCAGGGGGCTCACGAAATAGAGGTAGGATGTTTGTGGGTCTTTTACAAAATTAAAACAAGTCTGTTGTTGAAACAGTACATAATTGATGAAGTTTAAACAATGTGAAAAGGAATGAAGTGGAAAAGAAGGCTCCATCCCTTTCAACCCTAGTCCCCAGAAATAACCATTATTAACAGTTTTCTGTGTTTCTGTTTAAAACTTTCCCTTGTGTAGATGCTCACTTTCACCCAATTGGGCTTGATGTCCCCCCGCTTAATGATATGCCTCCGCATCACTCTGTGGCAGCCACATAATCTGCCATGTTCTCCTCAGCGGCACACTGGCACGAATGCACTGTAACTTACGTAACCAGTCGTCTCTTGATGGGTGCCCAAGAGGTTTTTCTAATTTGCTGTTAGAGACAGGGATGCAGGAGTAGGAGATTGAATCTGATCCTCTTGCCCATTACCTTAGGAAGATAATTAACAACTTGTCTGTGGTATAGAAGACCTGCGTTCAGTTTGAGGACGGTACTGTGTGAGCTTAAGCAAGTGGATCAGCCCCTCTGAGCTTTAGCTTCCCACCTCTAGAATGGAGTTGTTGTGTGACGTAGAACTGTCTGTCACAGTCACAGGGCGAGCACTCAGATATTGGCTGTTCTACCGGAGCCCCTGCTGGATGCTCTTCTTGTTCTTTTTCTCTGTGGCCCAGGTGGTGTGTGATGACCACGGCTCCCGAGGCTTTGGCTTTGTCCATTTTGAGACGCGTGAGGCTGCGCAGCAGGCCATCAGCACCATGAATGGGATGCTGCTGAATAACCGCAAAGTGTGAGTGGCTGGCAGAGGGGTGGACCGAAGCCGGAGGGACAGAATCATAGCATCACCAACTGGGGACCCATGCTCCCCACCACCATCTAAGGCAGCGGTTCCCAACCTGTGGGTCGCGACCCCTTTGGCGGTCGAACGACCCTTTCACAGGGGTCGCCCAAGACCATCCTGCATATCAGATATTTACATTACGATTCATAACAGTAGCAACATTACAGTTATGAAGTAGCAACGAAAATAATTTTATGGTTGGGTCGCAACATGAGGAACGGTATTTAAAGGGCCAGAAGGTTGAGAACCACTGATCTAAGGGCACCAGGCACTGAGCAGCAGCCGGTATTGGCAGTGTGACCTCGGAAGAGGGGCTTAAGCTCTCAAGGACTCCCTTTCCTCCAGTAAGAATGGGACTGCTGATACATGCTTAGAGGATTTTTCTGAGGAGTCAATGAAGTGATGTTTCTGAAGGAATGGCCAGATCATCAATGGACTTGGCCTTCTCAGCATGCCTGTGCATTTTTTTCTTAAGCCTTTTGTGTTATTTCATGGGATTTTGGGATGGGTGGGAAAGTAGGCATATGCTTAGCTGGCCATCTTCATACATATCAGTTTGGCATCATCCCCACTTCACAGATGGGAAAATTGAGATGCAGATGCTGGAGAGAATCTCTTCTGGCAGTGCCCCTCCCCCAGTTTTGCTTCTGCGCATCTGAAGGCTCAGCCCCACGCTCAGTACTATGGAGCGATGGTGGCTTTGAGCTGGGAGATGCCCGGAGAGTCATTCTGTCCAGGGTTTCCCAGGGGAAGCTTCTGTCAACTGAACAGTGGTGGGCTTTTCCCAGAAGGATGTTATTTTGTTAGCTACCATGTGTCCAGGTTTACCTTTGCCACTCAGTTTTCTTCAAGTGTTAGTGCCAGCTACAACTTGTTTGTGCTAAACGTGCTATAGATACTATCAAATTTTCTTATGCTTGGTTTTGTTTTGTATTTTTCTTTTATTAAAGAATATGCTTTGCCCTAACCGGCTTGGCTCAGTGGATAGAGCGTCAGCCTGCGGACTCAAGGGTCCCGGGTTCGATTCCGGTCAAGGGCATGTACCTTGGCTGCGGGCACATCCCCAGTAGGGGGCGTGCAGGAGGCAGCTGGTCGGTGTTTCTCGCTGATCGATGTTTCTAACTCTCTGTCCCTCTCCCTTCCTCTCTGTGGAAAATCAATAAAATATATTTTTTAAAAAAGAATATGGTTTCATTGATTTTAGAGAGAGAGGAAGGGGGAGAGAGAGAGAAACATTAATCAGCTGCCTCCTGCATGCCCCCTACTGGAGCCTGCAACCCGGGCATGTACCCTGGCCGGGAATTGAATGGGTGACCTCTTGGTGCATGGGACAAACGCTCACCCAACTGAGCCAACTGGCCACAGCAGTTTTTGTTGGTTTGTTTGTTTTTCTTAATCTACGATACTTTCCTAGGTGTGTTGACATGAACTTGGAGATTACAATTTTTAAAGTGAATATTGTATTTAAGTTATTTCAGTTTCCCCACAGCAGCACTAGCATGGATTGTGTCTGGTTCTCCCACTACTGTTTCCCCAGTGTACATGGTAAATGAATGAGCAAATCCCTGTGGTGTGAGTTTGATCCCCAGTTTTACAGGAATGAACACTGAGATTCAGAGAGGTTAAGGAACTTGCCCAGGGTCGCACAGCTAGGCAGCTGCAGAGTGAGGATTCAAGTGTGACTCCCAAGTTCATGCTCTTATTTCCTGTGCACTCAGCTGCCTGGTGTCTGGTAGGACTTCCCTGTGCATTTGCCACAAGAATTAAGTCTTCTTAACCTTATGCTGGAACATGGAATCTCAGCTGCAGAAGGTGGTCAGGCCTTGGGTATATTCTAAGTAGTATTGCCCTGCCCAGTCTTCTGATGAGGGGATCAGAGGCCAGAAGCTGGTAGCAATTAGCTCCAGTGACCCAGGGTTGTGGGGTGGGCTGGGATGGAGGTAGGGGTGGCTGGTGGCTGGCAGCTGCCTACCCTGTCGGTGTGTCCACAGCTTCGTCAGCCACTTCAAGTCCCGACAGGAGCGGGAGGCTGAGCTGGGGGTTCGGGCCATGGAGTTCACCAACGTCTATGTGAAGAACCTGCAAATGGACATAGATGAGCAGGGCCTGGAGGAGCTCTTCTCCCAGTTTGGTGAGTGTGTTTCCCGAGGGAGTTTGGGGTCACTTTCTCTTCAGGCTGGGAGGAAAGGCTCTCCTGGGCTTTCTGGAGACTTGTGGGAGGAAAGGGGAACACCTTGGGGCTTCCGAAACTCCCCTTTGAGCCAGGTTGGTCCTTCCCAGGGAAGACGCTGAGTGTGAAGGTGATGAGGGATGACAGCGGCCACTCCCGAGGCTTTGGCTTTGTCAACTTTGAGAAGCATGAGGAAGCCCAGAAGGTAGGAGCCTTCCTCCCCATCGCCCTGCTTCACGGAGAAGGTGCTGGGCCAGGACTAGGAAGAAGGGAGGTCGGGAGCAGAGGGCTCCGGCTGCCTGTGGAAGGAAAGGTCACATGAGCCAGGGCCCTTCCTGCCTGCGCTGAAGGCAGAAGGCTTCAGCCTCCTCCGGGACTTCCGAGCCATGTGGCTGCTTATTTTATAGGTTCTTGCTGCACGAGAGGTAGAAGGGGCCTTCGAGACAGCCACTACCCTCTTCTTGAATTGATTGGGGGATTGAGGCAGGGAGGGAAGTGCTATGCTATTTTTTGCTTCCAGGCCTTTGTAAATGCTGTTTTCTCACACTTCCCTTTTCCTGCAAATTAGACCGGTGCTGTCCAATAAAAATGTAACGTGAGCCACATATGCAATTTAAAATTCTCCAGTAGATTAAAAAAAACAATTTCCAATAGCCACATTAAAAAGGGCAAAAAAAGAAACTGTGAAATTAGTTGTAATATATTTTATTCAACATAAACATTTTCAAATGATCACCACGTCAATGAGCATTTAATATAAAAATTGAGATTTTTTTTATATCCCCTTTTTTGTACTTAATTCTTTGAAATCTGGTACCTCCAGCACAATTCAGACCAGCCATATTTCAAGTGCTTAGTAGCTGCATGTGGCTACTGAGTACCTTATGGGACAGCATAGCTTTAGGCGATTTAGTGCCTGTCCTTTGGGTCTCATACTTTCCCTCCTTCACAAAGCTGCCTCTTCCTGTTATTGCTTATTTGTGATACCTTCTGTCTCTCTCCATTCGTAGTACATGAACAGAACGGAGAGTAGAGTCCTAGCTGGTTTGGCTCAGTGAATAGAGCATCAGCTTGCGGACTGAAGGTCCAGGATTCGATTCAAGTACATGCCCTGGTTGCTGGCTCGATCCCTATTAGGGAGCATGCAGGAGACAGCCAATCAATGATTCTCTCTCATCATTGATGTTTCTGTCTCTCTCTCCCTCTCCCTTCCTCTCTGAAATCAATAAACATATATTAAAAAAAGAAGAAAAGAATGGAGAGCAGAGGCTGGGTCTGATTTCGCCATTAAATCTCTAGTATTGTAGCTGTCAGTAGCTACCAGATACATATTTGCTGAGTGAATGAATGGTACAAGGTCATACAATGACAAAGCTGGATTAACAATGTTATATTTGGCCTCCCATAAAGCTCTTTATGACCAACCATAAAGCTCTTCCCATGGTTGCTGCCCCTTTAAGATTACCGGACATGGAAGAGCTCAGCTCAGGGTGGATTCTGGCTGGAGACCTGGACCCTGGTGCCATCTCGATAACAGCCTCTTCTCACTGAGCACTTAGCACGGGCCAGGCACTGTGCGAGGGGTTTTGCATACATTCTCATCTCCCTCCACTAATATGGGCTCTGCTGTTATTATTAGGTTTCATGGGTTGTATTAAGTTCCACTGGGATTAGAATAAACTCTTTCTGACTCTGAAGTTTTGTTCTTAAGTAAAGGTAACTTTGAAAGGTAACTTCTAGTGTGTCCTGGGACAAGTCCCACCCTCTCTCTAGTGGGAGTAGATGGATGAAGCTGCAGGGGTCCATTAACTCCAAGGTCTTAGAGAGTTCGGTAATGACTTTTAAGACTGCTGTAGAACAGGTAGTTCCTGGGTCCATGATGTATATTTACATATATTTGCATATTTAGGCAGGAAAGCAAAAGTCATAATTATTTGAAAGTATTTACTAATGAACGGACCACTGAAAAAGTCAGTTCCCTTCAACATTTCTCTTCACTAACACCATTATCTCATCCTAACTATTGAGCCAGTACACACATAAGTCTGCCTTTTGCTGATTTTTGCAGATAAGTCCATGCAAATTGAGTTCAGTATAAATGGATTGCAGAGAGAAGTTGCATATCTCACAAAAGATGTAGGATTTCATGCAATCAAAGCCACTAACAAGTTAGGGTCTGGTAAGCTTAGGCCAGTTAACTGAAGAAAAGCAAAATCAACAGCGTTAAGACACCAGTGTTTCTAAAACAAAAGTTCTCATAATTAGCAAAAGGATTCTTTATGCTGTGAAATCCAACATGAAGTAAAAGATATTGATTATGCTGTCATGCCATTTTGAAAGAATTATGCTTGCTGCTTTGTTTTTAAAAAATCCGTGTGTAGGTAGTTATAAACTGATAGTCAAATATGGAAAACTGCAAATTTCCCTTTTTAAAATAGAGTCAGAAGAACATTTTAAAAAATCTACAGTTTACTCTGAAATTTTGTCCCATGTTTTTAAAAAGTGGATGGCCTTTATCCTGGTACTAATGATTCTCAGCTAACAAGGCCAGCCTGGTTGGCAGGTGGTCCCTTCTAAACCCAGGAGGTGGGACTGGAGGCCATGGCTAAGGCCAGGGCCTCATCGGGGGTGGTTCCCAAGCACTGTCGCTCCGTCTTCTCTGCACAGGCTGTGATGGACATGAACGGGAAGGAGGTGAGAGGACAGCTGCTCTATGTGGGCCGTGCCCAGAAGTGGGCGGAGCGGCAGAATGAGCTTAAGCGAAAGTTCCAGCAGATGAAGCAGATGAAGCAGGACCGGCTGAGCCATTACCAGGTGAGGGCCCTGAATGTGAGTCCTTCCTCTAGCAACCCCACCCACGTCCAGGAACTAGGCTTTAGGGATTGTGGGGGCTCCAGCTTCCAGGTGAGGGAATGCTGTGTGATTGGTGGGGTGCATGGGTATTGTGCGGGGCTGGGAACAGGAGGCTTGGAGACCAGGGCTTCCACTGCCCCCCACACAAGTCAATCAGGAGCGTGGGGAGGAAGGCATATCTAGCAGTGTCCTTTCCTCCCAGGGCGTGAACCTGTATGTGAAGAACCTGGATGACTCCATTGATAACGAGAGGCTGAGGAAAGAGTTCTCTCCCTACGGCGTGATCACCAGTGCCAAGGTGAGGGTTGTGGGTGCCCACAGTGGGCAGATAGCCTCCCCCTCCCAGCCTCTCACTCCCCACACACCCCTTCTTCCTCCCATGGCCTTCAGGGAGTTGGTACGGAGCCATACCTTTTGGATTTTGGGGCCATGTCTGACCCCGTTGGAGCTTGTCTGCACTGGAGGGAAAGAGGATGATAACACAGTCCCAGTCACACAGCTGGTCTTATTGGGGCCCACTGAAACCTTGGTTCATTCAACAAGCATTTATTGAGTGCCTACTATATGCCAGATTCCAGAAATTCATGTCTTAGCATTCCCATTGACTTTGTTGTCTGGTCTTGAACAGTGACATACCCCTTCTGGGCCTCAGTTTCTCCATCTGAAAAATGAGAGGGTTGGGCTGCTATATCATTCTTCATCGATTCTTCATTAATTAAACATTCTTAGCGCCTGAGGTGTGATGATTGGCTGTTCTACTCATAGCTCTGTGACCTTGAGCAAATGTCTTCTGAGTCTCATCTATAAGATGAAGGAGTTGGGCTCACTGGATGCTTCTTCAATGCTGACGGCTCGTTAAAACCCCCTAGGGCAGTGGTTGGCAAACTTCGGCTCAGCAAACCACGGCTCACGAGGCACATGCGGCTCTTTGGCCCCTTGAGTGTGGCTCTTCCACAAAATACCAACTTCTGTGCATGGGCCACGAAGTTTCATTCACACTGTACGTGCGTGCCCGCACGTGGTATTTTGTGGAAGACCCACACTCAAGGGGCCAAAGAGCCACATGTGGCTCGAGAGCCGCGGTTTGCCGAGCCGCAGTTTGCCAACCACTGCCCTAGGGAGCTCCTAAATACAGACACCTGAGAGAAATTGCATGTAGATTCTGAGGGTAGGGGCTGGGCATTTTATTTATTTTCTTTAAATATGTTTATTGATTTTAGAGAGAGAGGAAGGGAGAGGGATAGAGAGATAGAAACATTGATAAGGGAGTAACATGGATCAGCTGCCTTCTGCACACGCCCCCTACTGGGGATCGAGCCTACCACTCGGGCATGTGCCCTGACCAGGAATCCAACCGTGACCTCTTGGTTCCTGGGTTGATGCTCAACCACTGAGCAACACCAGCCAGGCTCTGAGAGTAATTTTAAATGCATAAAGGAAAATTCATAGGATTACAAAAACAATTATATTGAAATAATTATCAAAATACTAAGGTGACAGCAGTATGTGCTTCTTTATTAATGTATCAAACTATAAGATCTAGTGGAGTAGCAATTAGCATAAAAGATATTTGAGATCAGCAATAATGAAAATATTTTTTCTTCCCCCAAAAGTCACATTTTTTTGTTCTTACATTCAAAATAGAAGGAAAGGCTAATATGAAAATACAGATGCCATTTTTCCCCCATTTGAGTTTACAGACCCCCTGAATCCCATCCATTGCCCTCCCTGTGGATCTGTGAACTCTCAGGTCAAGGCAGATAGCAAAGTACAGTTGGAAAATCACTGATGTAGAGAATGGGCTCTACTAGAGCAGATTCAAAAAATTATCTCAATTCTGTTGCTCATGGAGTAGGTGAGCAGGGCCAGTGTCTTGACCCTAAAAAAGATGAAGAACCCTAAATATAATGTGGATTGGATCCTGGAAGAGGAAAAGAATATTAGCAGTAAAACTAGTGAAATCCAAATGAAATGTCCAGTTTAGTTAACAGCATTGTAGCTAATGTAGTTGACAGTATTGCACCAATGTTACTATGGTAGTTTTGACGAATGTGCCATGTTAACATGGGGAGGCAAGCTCAGTGAAAGAATTACAGCAACTCTGTACTATTTTTGAGACTTTTCTATAAATATAAAGATATTCCAAAATAGAAAGTTATTTTAGTTAAAAGGTTAAGAACCTCTTCCCCAGATGTTGAAAGAACTTGGCTCAGGGCCTTGTGGAGGCAATGGGGTTTTACCGGATGGTACATTGGCTGAATGTGTGAACCACTGGCTGGGTGACCCTGGACAAGTCACACTCTCTCTTTTTTTTTAATGGTAAAAAGGGCTTTTATTTCTACTAAAAAGATAATTAACAGGTTAAAGCACCAGAAGTAGAAATTCAAATTATTTTCATGTTCCTTACAATTCTCTTTATTGGAGTCTCTAGGAAATATAGCTGTTAAGAGCACCCTTTTGATGTCCATAATTCACAAATGAAGTTGTATGAGTAGTTAGGAAAACCCAGCCCTAGCCAATTTTGCTCAGTGGATAGAACATTGGCCTGCAGACTGAAAGGTCCCGGGTTCGATTCTGGTCAAGGGCACATGACTGGGTTGTGGGCTCAATCCCCAGTAGGGAGTGTGCAGGAGGCAGCTGATCAATGATTCTCATCATTGATGTTTCTATCTCTCTTTCTCCCTCTCCCTTCCTCTCTGAAATCAATAAAAATATATTTAAAAAAGAAAGAAAGAAGGAAAACCCAAGAAGTGGTCGAAATGCAGATTGTTTTCATCATAGTAACCTCAATGGAAATGTTTAAGATGGTGGCCCTGGCTGAAGAACCAGCCCTAGTCTTAGATTCTTAGCTAACCCTAGACCCGTGGTCAGCAAAACGCGGCTCACGAGCCACATGCGGCTCTTTGGCCCCTTCAGTGTGGCCACGAAGTTTCAATCACTCTGTACGTGCGCGCCCGCACATGGTATTTTGTGGAAGAGCCATACTCAAGGGGCCGCAGTTTGCCGACCACTGCCCTAGACTATCATCTCACTTCATGATAGCCCCTCTGAGGACGGTATATACATTTAATTAAGCCAGCTTCCCACCACAGCCTAAGAAAATCTTTCAGAAAGAAAATTGAGAGAGAGGAATATATTCTGAAATGCAGCTCTTCTCCATAATTCTGTGAATGGTCTGTGCACTATGAGTAGCTGTCAGTCAGCAAGTAGACTGGTCTCAGATCTGTCACTCTTGAGCCCCACTTTCCTCACCTATAAAGTGGGAGTCATAGTGAAGTGAGGAGTGTCAAGTATCTGGCATGTGGTGGGCCTCAGTGAATGTGGGGTGAGAGGACACCCCGATAGTAAGTTTCTGCTGGCCCTGCTCAGGCCAGGCTGGGCCCCAGGGAAGGAGGGGAACTGGCCCTAGGAGTCTTCCTTCCCCTCCCCCAGCAGCCCTTGTCTTGTCTTGCTTTTAGGTGATGACAGAGGGTGGCCACAGCAAAGGGTTTGGCTTTGTGTGTTTTTCCTCTCCAGAAGAGGCAACGAAGGCCGTGACAGAGATGAACGGGTGCATCCTGGGTACCAAGCCGCTGTACGTGGCGCTGGCTCAGCGCAAAGATGAGCGGAAGGCTATCTTGACCAACCAGTTCATGCAGCAGCGCCTCTCCAACGTGTGGGCCCTGGGTGGCCCCCTCTTGGGCTCTTTCCAGCAGCCCGTGAGCTACTTCCTGCCCACCGTGCCCCAGGTGAGGGCCTGCCTGCAACCTGACAGCCAGGAGGAGCAGGAAGAGAGCTTCAAGGCAAACATAGTTCCCCGCCTGCTTCTGCCTGAAACAACAGGTTGTTTTCACCCCATTTCTAAAAGGGCTGATGAAAACCCTTCTCTAAGAGTGCCGCTGTCAAACAGAGCTTCCATGTGGGAGAGATTTGTGAATGGTATGCTAAAAAGATTCTTTGGTCAAATTTAAGTTTGGGAACTACTGCAGTAAACAAAGGAAGCATAGGTTTCTTTACACATGCATTGTTTTTCCCTACTATGCCCTTCTGACTTCCCAAACTGACAGAATGGGTAGCCCTCCCCCAATTTAAGTGGCCGTTTTTGCAGCGTGCCTGCTACCGTCTCTGAGGGGCCTGGTTTGGGAAAGGAGCTCGTGTGACCCAGAGGAAGTAGAAGGTTTTAGCCACTAGACCTGCCGTGGGCAAACTACGGGCCCGCGGGCAGGATCCGGCCCGTTTGAAATGAAGAAAACTAAAAAAAAAAAAAAGACCGTACCCTTTTATGTAATGATGTTTACTTTGAATTTGTATTAGTTCACACAAACCCTCCATCCATGCTTTTGTTCCGGCCCTCCGGTCCAGTTTAAGAACCCATTGTGGCCCTCGAGTCAAAAAGTTTGCCCACCCCTGCACTAGAGGCTCCTAGAATGGGGGCATTCCTGCTCCTGTTAGCAACTGCTTAAGCCGGCACAAGTTTCAGCAGGACGTGTCACCATTTTATCCAGGTCGTTGGGCCAGTGTCTCTGTTAAGAGGAGGACTGAACCTGAGATCTTGCCCCAAAGAGTTGAGGGATAATGGCCGTCCCAAAATGGGAAGCAGGCCTTCAACCCAGCTTTGTGGGTCTTTACTAACCAGCCCCCTGGGGGGACAGTGGAGCTCCTGCGGTGACATCCTTGGGGGGATGCAGTTTCTCACTTCTCCTGCTGCAGCCCCCTCACCTGGGTCTTCTTCTCCCACACAGCCTCCAGCCCAGGCTGCGTGCTATGGCTCTGGCCCACCTGTCCAGCCTGCCCCCAGGTGGACGGCCCAGCCACCTAGACCCTTGAGTGAGTGATCCAGCCCCTCCCAACCATGAGTGTGGGACCCGTGGGGTAGTGTGTAACATAGTGGTTAAAGAACACGAGTTTGGGGGTCAAGCCTGGCTCTGTCACTTCCTAGAGTGTTCATCGGGGTGAGTAACTTCCCCTCTGAGCCTCAGTTTCCGCTTCCGAATGTGGGCCTGAATGAGATATGTGTGTGCGCACCAAGCACAGTGCTGACCCTGTAAAAGGCTTGCATTCTCTTCAGCCAGTTCGCACTATCTACAGTCTGGTTTGTGGCTGAAAATTCTTGCGAAGCTGAGAAATGAAACTCCTTTGGCCGTGTGGCTGATGAATGGCCCTTCTCTAAGAGTAAAGGTCACCTGATTTGAAACTGCCTAGGGCAGTGGTTCTCAACCTTCCTAATGCCTCGACCCTTTAATACAGTTCCTCATGTTGTGGTGACCCCCAACCATAAAATTATTGTCGTTGCTACTTCATAACTGTAATTTTGCTACTGTTATGAATCATCATGTAAATATCTGATATGCAGGATGTATTTTCATTGTTACAAATTGAACATAAAGCATAGTGATTAATCACAAAAACAATATGTAATTATATATGTGTTTTTCGATGGTCTTAGGCGACCCCTGTGAAAGGGTCGTTCGACCCCCAAAGGGGTCGCGACCCAAAGTTTGAGAACGGCTGGCCTAGGGGGATGAAGGAGTGTGATCATGATGCCTGTGCCTCTGAGGACTCTGGGGAGATGGGAATTGAGTTGTAATAGGAAATTGCCACACACCCTCCCTGGAGTTCGGGGTCTGCCGGAGGCGAATTCACTCATCTTTCTGCTGTGAATGTTCTGGTTCCCCTTCCTCACCCTGGCACCGTCAGGGGGTGGTGTGCTGCTCTGATAAATAATCCCCCTTCCTGCCAACCTTTCTCTTTCCATGTTCTCAGTACCACAAGCCCCCTACTCTCCAGCTGCCTCAGTGGCCTGGCCACCAGCCACGTCTCAGCACTCCCCGACCCACATCAGCAGTGCCAAGAAGGCCTCTATCCAGGAGCCACCCCAGGTGTCCTACACCCAAACAGTGGGTGAGTATGGGCGGGGCCAGAGGAGTGGGTGTGCAGGGGGCTGGGGCTGGGGCAGGAGCTTGGTGCTGGGTTGGCACTAGTGGGGGTTGGAACCAGCCTCCACGGTGACCTTGCCCTTCACCCTCGGAGAGCAGGGCTGACTGAGGCTGTATAGCACAGTAGTGAGTGTGGACTCCAGAGTCGTGCAGGCCCAGTTCCCGGGGTTCACGTACTCTGTGGCCTTGCTAACTACTATTATCGGATTGCCTTATCTTTAAAATGGGGATGAAGACAGTTTTCCCCTTTTGTTGTGTGAGTGAATGAGATCCTAAGTGCAGGGGCTTAGCACCGGATCTGAACTTAGTAGGTTCACAGCAACAGCTATGAACAAGGGCACAGATTTTGACTATAGGCAAGCACCTGTGGCAGATGTTTGTGTGTCTGTGTGCTGGGGGTTCTACATGAACGCTCGTCTTTAGGCCTTATCGCTGCAGGTTGCTGCCAGGCCCTAAGGTCCCTGCTTATTTCTTACAGCCAACATTGGTACCCAGACCTCTGGCCTTGGTGAGGCAGGATGCTCTATGCCAAGTGGGCCTCTCCTGACACAGAGATATTCCTTGGAGACGCCCAACACCCATGAGGTAAGGCTGACCCAGCTGCTCTCAGAATCTGGGCTCCGGGGTGGGGGTGGGGGGAGGGGCTGGCTAGAACCTTGGCTAAGACATTGACCCTCTCTGGACCTTTTCTTGGCTTATAAAGTTTCGTTTATTAGCAATGTACAATCAAAAAGTGATTACCCTTACTAACAGGAGGGAAAGGGCCAGGACCGCGTTTTATTAGTTATGATTTGCTTTGCCTGGGTTATTACCAAAATTAATTTGGATTTCCCTAGTCCTTATGTGTTGAGCAGCAAGGATGTGATTAATCAAAACAGAACTGAAAATATCTCCTGTCATTATAAGTTTAAAGGCTGTTTATTTATCTCCCTGTACCCCCCCCCCCAAAAGTCTCAAACTCAGCATTTTCTTCTATCTAGAATTTCACTGTGTATGCTTTGAACTGTTTCTTGCAAAGTGAACACGAGTAGTCTTTAAAGAGCAAATGCTTTTAATGTGGTCAAGATGTGAAAGGTCAGAAGTATGGTAGAAATACGGCCATAAAAGCTACTGGGTCCAAAGTTCTTTTATCGGGCACAAAGTGATTAGTAAGGTGTGGCTTCGTTTGGCAACATGGACTAGGGGCCTTTAGAGGTTCCTAGCACAGTGGAAAACATCTGCATCAGAGTGTAACTTTGTCGTTCAGTCCACCATGCCCTTGTTGGGGACTCTGTCCCACCCAATTGTCCATGCCTTGCCCCTGCTCCCCTCTTCCAGAGCCTTCCTGGAGGCCTGTGCTTGCCTGACAGGGTGAAATATTTTGAGGCCTTGCCCATCCGTGGTAGTTAAGGCATGTGTCCCCGGCACCATGTGCAGGTCCAGGAGCCTGCTGTGTGCATCCCCGGACAGGAACCCCTGACCGTGTCCATGCTGGCCGCAGCACCACTGCACAAGCAAAAGCAGATGATAGGTGAGTGGCTGGTTCCCCTGGTGAGCAGAGGAGGGGGGCTGGGATCTGGCTAGCCTGGTGGGGACCACCGAGTGGAGGTCCGACATGCGGACAGCATCTAGCTTTGTCACTGACCAACCTGCTGGGTGACCTTGCCCGAGTTGGGTCTGTAATCCAGGCCCCGTTCTCTCATCTTAAAACACTGGTCAAGTGAGATGTTCCTGGGGTGTCTTCAGCTTTGCTGTACTTGACTTTGACTTAGGCTAGGAGAGACCCCAGATGTGGGGAGGTCAGGGGTCAGGTTTTGGGTTTCTGCTAGGACATGGCCCCTAAGGTGGGTGTTGCAGTTCCTCACGCCTCCCCTGACTGGGAAGAAGTTGTCACCAGATTTCATCAGCTTCCCCAGCGGCGCCCATTACAGGAGGTGGTAAATAAGTGTGCATTGGGAAAATGGACCACCATTCCCTGTCTTCCCCACTGGGTCCTGACTTCCTGTGCAATTCATCCTGTGTCTGTGACAGGCCCTCCTCAAGGGTGCCACTAACGTTGAATGAATGAACAAGCTTGCTAGTGGTTGGCAGGTTCTTTTCTTCAAGTCCACCAAGATCTCCTAACTCTTCTCTGTAGGCCCCCACTGCCACCATCCCATTGTTTCCTCAGCTCACTTGGCATTTTGCCACTTTATTACCTATACCTCCAAGAAAAAGTCTCAGTGGGTTTAATGGAGGCAGAAGGCTCTATTAGCAGTTCCTTGTAGACATCTTCGCTTTCATCATGGGAAGATCTCTCTCATTCACACTCAAGGCACCCCAGCACCCCAGGCTGGCTAGACCCTCCACATATTGCCAAAATGGGCTGACCACCACCACTAGGCCCTGTCACTAGAAGTACCTGATGGTGGAAGGTGATTTATCTGGTGTATTTGCCCCCCCTTCCCCCCAAAAAACGTCAGGTTCAACATTATCATATCCTGTCTAGAATCTTAGTGTGTATACTTGGAATTATTTCCTGCAAAGTGAACAAGAGTAGTCTTTAAAGTGCAACCATCTTTGTATCAGACCCCATGCAACTACTTTATATCTAGCATCGAATATGATGCTGCAGACTGACCTCCAAAGTGGGTTTGCTATGCCCACTTCATTTGGGAAAGAGGCTGCTGCTCACCAGGTTAAGTAAGAGGACAGTCTGGAACAGGGGTCCTCAAACTTTTTAAACAGGGGGCCAGTTCACTGTCCCTCAGACCGCTGGAGGGCCGGACTATAGTTTAAAAAAAAAACTATGAACAAATTCCTATGCACACTGCACATATCTTATTTTGAAGTAAAAAAACAAAACAGGAACAAATACAATATTTGTATTTGCATGTGGCCCGCGGGCCGTAGTTTGAGGACCCCTGGTCTGGAAGGAGCAGTTCGGGGACAGCCACCCAGATGCCTCACTGCTCCATTCCACAATACTGCCCCTGGGATGCTGGGATATCAGCCAGGTGTGTGTTCATAAGCCATCAGAGGCTGTTCCATTCAGGTGAGCGTCTCTACCCCCTTATCTACAATGTCCACACCCAGCTGGCGGGCAAGATCACAGGCATGCTGCTGGAGATCGACAACTCAGAACTGCTGTACATGCTGGAGTCTCCAGAGTCCCTCAATGCCAAGGTGGGCTGGGGCCTGGGTGGCAGAGAGCCCTGAGGGCAGGAGGAGAGCTAAGGTGTCTGCTAGATGAGCCAGCAGGCTGCTGCTTGGACAGATGAGGTTTATCTTCTTGCTAACACCTGTGGAATCTGAGTGGGTTAGAATCATAGATGATTCTCTGCAGCTCCATAGGCAAGGTTTTGGCACAAGGAGCTGTGTTCTGGGTCACGATTTCCCCAGCTGTCCAGCAGTGTACATCTGTCTTGAGAAGGTGACTGTGGGTTTCTGTCCGGGGAGCTGGCAAGCAGCAGTCAGATGAGGGCTCTGCAGAAATGCTGGGGAGGGAGGGACCTGGGGAGGTCAGGGCTCTCCTGGGACCCTGCTGGGGCAGCTGCACTAAGTCCCTCCCACTGTCTACAGGTAGAAGAGGCTTTGGCAGTGCTTCATTCAGGCTCACCAGACCATGGAGGAAGAGCAGATGAAAGTGAATGTAATTGAAACCAGGTGGGTGGGTGGAGTTGAGAGGAATGGTGACAGACGTAGCTGAACCCAGAAGCACTAAGGAACTGGGCAGGGACTGGCTGGCTTTCACAAAGTCCCTGAGAACCACATTGTGACACTGCTGTCTCAGGGGGAAGCTGTGAGGATCAAAGGAGAGGACAAGCCGTGTGATTGGAATGGGTGCGGACTATCAAAGGGGAGGTGTTCTCTCGATAGCTGCCCCGCCTCACCTTACTCATAATAGGCCTGGCTTCCCCTGGCACTGCCTGGCTCCATTCTGCCTGCCTGAAGGCCTGGCTTGGTATAGCCCCCATTCTTAGTCGAAGACCAGGTGTCTGCCATACTTGAGAAACATTTAATTTTACCTTTTCGTCCTCAGAAAATGGAATCCTCACTCCCTTGGCTGACAAGAGAACAGCGTTCCTGCTCTTGGCTCTAAGGCCCTGTGAATCATAACTTATTTCCTAGTTGGGCTGTATCTGTACCTGAGCTCTGCATGTGGAACAAAGGCTGGTCACCACGCCAGCCCATTACCTTTTTTTTTTTAATTTATTGGGGTGACACGGGTTAACAAAGTTATAGAGGTTTCAGGGGCACAATTCTACAGCACATCATCTGTTCACCACCCCAAGTCTCTGTCCATCACCATTTATCCCCAAAATACCCTGCTACACCTTCCCCAATCCACTACTCCCCCTCCCCGCCCCATTGCCATTGCTTTGTGCATTAAAAGTGCTGCAAACTGGTTTGTCTCCCAGGAGGCCTTCTTGGGTGAGGGAGGTGGGGCAGAGCAAAGGGGAGGCTTGATTGGGCTGGTTTTGGTTGCAAGGAACAGAAACCGGGACGAGTGCTGAAGTACACAGAGGGTGTGGACAGCAGCACGGAACTGCTGGGCATGGGGCAGCAGCTACCACCCACCAATGTGCAGTGGATGGATAATTGGTTGTCATCACGCAGCAATGAGAAGTTAAAGCTACAGGTGCCCACACCTGGATGCCTGGCTTGAATACCTGCAGTGCAGGGAAACACCCTGAAAGCAGCAACTGCTTCTAGGCTCTGGACCAAGGGATGGTGTAACATAGAGAACCCTTGTGGAAATGCCTTAGGCTACCTTCTGGTCACCATTTTCCTCCTCTGGTCACCATTTTCCTCCCCTGTAGGGAGAGAAAAGCTTCTTGAGGTTGTAATGGTCTCAGCTTCTATGTTTTCATTAGTAAATCCAGATACTTGCCTTCTAGACCTCAAGAAGAGAAAGTCAGTCAGTCATGACTGAATGTCACCACTAAACCTGCCTCAAATCAGGTAAGAGGCATGCCTGCTTAAGAGGGGGCAGTAAGAGGGTACAGCTCCCCACTTTGAAATGGTCCCCTGGCCATGGCGTTGGTGGACTCTAAAACCCGCTTTGGCTCGAAGGCCGGGTTGCTCAGCAGACGCCTCCCAGAGGTTGGAAGCAGCGTGCTCACACTGCTCAGCACTGAGTGACGGGCGAAGGGATGAGGAAAACCCTGTCTGCTCTGTTTTATGGAATCATCAAACTGCTACTCCGTTAAGAGGGAGACAACTGAACTAAGTAAGACACAGGCCAGGAGAGGGAGGCAGCCTAGTTCTGGCTGGCTGCTGGAGCACTCTCCACCCTCCATCCAGGCTGTGCTTTGTGAACCGGAGTGGCACCGTCTGGTCTCTGTGCTCCCATGAGGACCTTTACCCTCCCCTCTTCACCAGCTAAACTCCCACCTTAGAACTCAATTCAAACTTACTTCCCCAGGGATCCCATTCCCTGAGGTCACATCTCCCTTCAGGCAGGGAAAGTACTGTGTAATGACTTCTCTAAAATGTGTAAGTTGGCCGTAGTTTTACACTTGTTCCTGGGATCTGATTAATTTCTCACTGTCCCACTAGACCAGTGGTTCTCAACCTTCTGGCCCTTTAAATACAGTTCCTCATGTTGTGACCCAACCATAAAATTATTTTCGTTGCTACTTCATAACTGTAATGTTGCTACTGTTATGAATCGTAATGTAAATATCTGATATGCAGGATGGTCTTAGGCGACCCCTGTGAAAGGGTCGTTCGACCGCCAAAGGGGTCGCAACCCACAGGTTGAGAACCGCTGCACTAGACTGTCAGCCCTCTGAGACCAGGGACCGTGTCTACTCATTCATGGTTTCCCCAGCAATATGGGGCCTGGTCCAGGCAGACATTTCCGTGAATGATTTGTTCAATGATTAGCTGAATGCTAATCGAACAGTGGTAGCTTTTATTGTTGTTATTGCAAAATTTTCAGCACAAAGCTGAAAAAGCATAAATGAAAGTACAACAGAAATTTTTGTAGAAGAAAAATGTTTAATGTAATCGTTTAAACGCACAGTTCAACAAAACCGAGTCAGTTCAGTTCAAATTAACTTCGTATAACAAAGAAATAAGAAGCCTGGAGAGCCACTGTTGGGGTCAAAAGTCCCTGCCCAGAACAGGAGGACACTGACTTCAAGGAGGCCTTTCTTCCCATCCACCTTTAGGAGGGCTGGCCACCTTTGGGCTCCTGACACAACTTAGGCACCTCCATGCAAGCAGCAGCACAGAGCCCCAGACAAAGCCACCCAAGGGTCAGGGTTCTGCCTCCCTACCAAAGTGGGGCCTGGCCAAAAAGGGCTGGAACTCCGAACACAGAGGACTATGTTAGGACAGGGCAGGCTGGCAGCCCTGGAGAACCAGCTCAACAGGCTGCTTTAGGTGTTTCTAGTCCTGTGGCCAAGGTTTTTTAGTCCCATGGCCCCCTTCCATACCCACAGCTTAGTTTGCTCTTGAGCCACAGTGAGGTGGGTGGTGACGCTCATAGGGCAGCGCTCAGTCTGGAGCATGCTCGGGGCAGGGCCAGGCCCAGTGGTTTGCTGATGAGGACCTGTTACGATCCGCTAGCTGTCCAGGCAGGGGATGGAGAACAGGGCTTCGGCACAGCAGGGGACCTTTCCAGCAAAACAATGTCTGGTTTTTGCTACACTGAGCTTAATTTGAACAAAGCCTCTTAAGGGGTCGGAGGCTACTAGTGCTTTGTGGGGCAGAGGGAGGGCGCGTCAGAGCTCACTTGGGGGCATGCTGGGTCCCAGAAGCAGACACAGAGGAAGGCATCCAGTGGAGGTTTTCCTGCTGCCCTTTTGGAATTTTAGTTTAACTTCTGGTTAACTTCTTGCTGCAACTTCTGTGCAGGGACATTCTTAGGCTCAATTTTCAGGAGACTGTTGATGTCTGCAAAGCTGGATTTATAGTCCTAATAAAAGAGAGAAGGAAGGGTGTGGGGATGGCACCATGGCTGAGGTGAGATCAAGGGGGGCGGGAGGGAGGGGTAAGACAGCTGCTGAGACAGACAGGCTTTTCAAACCCAGCACACAGGTCTGACAGGAGCTGCCTGGGCCCCCGGATGAGCAGGGACGTAGCAGATACCAACTCGCCTTGACCACAATCGGGAAGGTCCACCGCAGGCACAGATGCCCGTAGCTTAGCTGAGGAGGACTTCTTACCTTGAGCGCCTTATAGGCTTGAGCCCGCCTGTAAAATGCCTTCACGTTCTTCCCATCCAGCTTGAGGGCTTCCGTGCAGTCCTTCACCGCTTCCTTGTACTGCTTCAGGGCCAAATGGCAGAGCGCTCTGACAGGGAAGACCGTTCCGAGGTGTCAGTCACTTCTAGGGGCCACCCAGACCGGAGGTAGTTTGATTCACTGAACACCTACTCTGTGCTGCTTACTTTACATGTTCTTCAATCCTCACACCAACCCAGCCCCTTTCCACAGGTGACAACGCTGGCTCAGTGGTGAAGCGCCTTGCTCAAGGTTCTCCCACTACTGAGGGGCAGACCTGGGACTCAACCTGGGTTCTCCGGCCTCCAGACCCTGGCCTCCCTGAGCTCTAGCATTTTGTCTACCTCACATTCCCATACTGTGCTCTTTTAAGCAAAGAAAAGGTTTCCCGAAACCTTCCCCCTGACAGACTAAAAAGTTACCTGCCTTAAAACAAAAATACTGGGTTTTAATTAATGATACGTATGCTGATGTATTAGGGGCGAGATAGAAAGGTGTCTGCGACTTTGAAATGCATCAAAATAACATGGGTCAGTAGATGGCTAAATAGTGATAAAGCAAATATAATAAAATGTTAATTTAGATGACAGGAATATGGGTGTTCAATGAAAAATCTTTCAACTGATACTTAGAAAATGTTCAAAATAAAATGTTGGGAAAAAGTCATGTGCATCCATCCAAGCCACTCTGCACCTATGGGGGGAAAGTGTGTTTATCTTTCTCACTCAATTCTAGTCCTTTTCTCCAAAGACAGTCACTGAAAACGGATGTCTTGGAGCTCAGTGTGGAAGTCCATCCATTCCACCGCATCGTTTTGAATGGGTACAAAGTAGTCACTTAGTTGGGTGTACCTAATTTTTCCCCCATTACAAAGCAGTCTGGAAGATAACATGAGTGAGTGAAGAGGAACCCAAGCTTTGGAGTTACAAAGACCTGGCTCCAGTCACAACTCTACCATGGATGCGTTGTTTAACTTCGTGCTTGTTAGTTCATCTTTCCACACTTGTTTTCTCAGATAAAATGGGACCACGACCTAAGCTGAAGAATTGTTGTGAGGAGAAAATGAGTCTCTGGAGGTCCATGCAGGGGTTGGCCAGCGGTTGGGGCCAGGTACCTGAGTGGTGATATCCACTTAGGTATCAACTGTGCTAAGAGAACTGAAGTGAGCCAAAGAGCACTCAAGGTGATGCACACAGGGCATATGCATGAGGTGGGCATTGAAACGATGTCCAGGATGTGGTGTAATTTCAGTCACAACGGATGGAAAATTCAGTTTTGTACAGTTATCAGTCCTCTAAGTTAAATCGATAGATTAAATGTAATCCCAAACAAAAACACAAGATACTCTTGGGAATTTGTCAAAATGATCCTACGGTTTAGCTAGAAGAACAAATCTGGGAAAATAGCCAGGGCTGCTCGGATTGAGGATGAGGAAGAGACCAGCCTACAAGATATTACAAAGCAACAGTAATTAAAACTGTGACACAGACACATGTGCATGAAAATGGGTTGCTAGAGGTCTCCATGAGGTGAGCTCCATGAGGTGAGCAAGGCCAGAGAAAGAGGAGTTAGGAGATGCTGCAGCCCTCTTTTTCAGGTTAGCCTGGCGGACCGAGGCACCCTTGTTCCAATCAGCCAGAAAAACCACATGTCCAAAATTTAAGCTTTCAGTTTGAAAGTTCTCTTTTCAACTCATTAGGCAGTAAACCCTGGCCTGAACCGACATGAGGCTAGTCTTTTTTTTTTTTTTTTTGGTTAATCCTCACCCGAGGATATTTTTTCCATTGATCTTTTAGAGAGAGTGGAAGAAAGAGGGAAAGACAGAGAAACACATCTATTAGTTGCTTCCTGCACAAGCCCCGACCAGGGCCTGGGCCGGGGAGGAGCCTACAGCCAAGGTACATGTCCTTGACTGGAATTGAACCCGGGACCCTTTGGTCCTCAGGCCGATGCTGTATCCACTGAGCCAAACTGGTTAGGGCAAGGCTAGTCTTTCTTTATACCACCACATGTGAATGTGGAATTTCCTTATGTTTCACTGCAGAAATGCTAACAATTAACTTCACAAGCTGCCCCTGACCCTAAATGGTATGTGATTCAGTATATGGACCACATTACCTTACTAAGTCTGAAACATTTGGATAAGGAAGGGTGAGCCTATAGTAGATACAAGATCTTTGAACTGAAGAGTAACATGTGGTACAGCTGCAGGGTCTTCTTCAGCACTAGAGTCTCACCCCTCAGGTTAGCCTGGACCTGTCTCTCACTCCCAGGCCAGGCGATAATTACTCCATATCCTGGGTTCTGCCTTGTGCTCTCAGGGCCAAAGTTTCTAATAGGCGGGCTTTGGAGAAGCCATGGGGTGGGAGCAGGGGAGGTGGAAAGGCTACATGACTAGCGTTGAGGTTGTGTCTGTGTAGCAAGACATCGTAAATGAAAATCCTGGGGAGGGAGGTTAACAAAGCCCAGGTTCCCCTTTGGCATCACTCAGTTTCTATCCTTTCCAGAGAGTGAATGCCACTAACAATGCCTGCCTCATGGTGACCAAAATGAGTGTGAATGCATCTTCTGAGCTGTGACATACTGACTAAATGCCAGGGAAGAAGAGCCCCCCCACAGTCCAAGAGAAGATTGTGGAACGGAATAGCCAATGTCCTGAAACCCCCAGGCCAGCAGCTGTGGGGAAGGTACCTGTTGCTGTACGTGGTGGACTCCAGGTTACTATACGAGAGGCTTTCACTGTACTTCTCAATAGCTTTCTTATGGTTTCCCTTCTTTACAAGCTCATTGCCTTCTTCCTTCAGAACTCTGGCTCTCTCCACATCCCCAGAAGGCACTAGGTACAAATTCAGAAGAGGAAAAACCATGGAGCAGGTGCCAGACTGAGATCAGCGAGGTCTCTCCGGCATCGTCTCTTCTAAGCCGTCCACAGCCCTCCCAGAGGTTCCTATGCTGCTGTAAAGCGTCCTTCCTGAGCAATGATTCCCCCGTCAATGGCTTCTGGGAAATTAGTTTTTCATTCAGAAAAGGTTGAGGACTCCTGATATAAACATACTTATACAAGCACATGATAACACATGATAAAAAGCACCTTGGGTTCTAGCCTTGGCACTGCCACTTGGCAGCTGGGAGATCTTGTGTGACCTACCATCTCTGTTGGATCTAAATTTCCTCAGCAATGCAATGGGGGCAACACCTACTCTACACAGGACTACTGTCGGGAGGAAACCTGAGACTACACGAGAAAGTGCAGAACCCCCTATGAACTTAAAGCAGGAGAATAATTAGAAATTTAAACAAGCATCTGGTAAAGAAAGGGTGTAGCTCCCAGGCTTTCAGAAAGAGGAAGAGGAGTGCTATTCCTCATTGTTTTGGTCTGAGCCTCACCTAACATCTGCCCCAGCTTTCAAGGAGAAATAGGAGTAAGTGAAACCCATGCTGCTCAGCCTGGCCTCCAGGCCTGAATTAACTGTTCCAGCCCCAACTACTATATCACCTTTTTTAATTTTTAAAAACTATCTTTATAAAATAATATATATGACAAGGGTAACGTTTTGGGAGTAAAACCAATACCCTCACCTTAATTAAGAAACAGCATTTACGGGGACCTCTGAAGCCCTATGGGCCCTTCCTCAAGTCAATCCACCCCTGGAGAAAACCATTATCCCCACTTCTGTGCGTCCTTCCCTTTTTTAGTTTTTGGTAGTTTACTATATACAATAGTATTTATAAACTATTTGTTGTTTTTGAATTTATGTAAAGGAACAAATAATTGTATGTATTCTTCTATAACCTTGTTTTCTTTTTCCCCTTTTCAAAATTATATTCTTTTAAAAAAAAATATATATATATATATATATATATATTTTTTTTTTACACAGAGGAAGGGAGAGGGATAGAGAGTTAGAAACATCGATGAGAGAGAAATATCGATCAGCTGCCTCCTACACACCTCCTACTGGGGATGTGCCCGCAACCAAGGTACACGCCCTTGACCGGAATCGAACCTGGGACCTTTTAGTCCACAGGCCGACGCTGAGCCAAACTGTTAGGGCCAAAATTATATTCTTGAGATTGAATATACCTATAGTAGTTTATCAATACAATTGGTTTTCCATTTTCCTATTTATGGAGACCTGTGTTATTTCCAGTTTGTTTTTTGCTGTTACAAACATTCTGCTGTGAACATTCTTGAACATGTCTCCTTGTGCATGTGCTTGAGTTTCTCTAAAAGTAGAGCCTGTAGGTTGCAATGTACACACAGCTTCAGCTTTCTCCCAGCTCTGCAACACACTACTTGCTATAGTCTTGCTTACTCCCACTGTTCAGTTACACCGCATGCATTCCTCTCTAACTCTCCACTGTCTCTGCCAAGAATTCCTGTCCCTTCTCCCTTTCCCACCTGAAGAACTCACCCTTTAAGGCCTGGCTCAACCTGCCACCTCCTCTGTGAGCCTTTTCCCGACCCTCCTCCAAACAGACGTCAATTCCGATTTCTAACTCCCCGAATACTAAAGACTCTTAAGCACTTGTTCTTACTCTTGTATTTTAAAATGCTGTCTCAGTCTCACTAAACTGAGAGCTTCGGAGGGCCAATGCTGCCATCCTGTGTCACACTGCTGAGCACAGGGCCTGGGACACACATGGCTCAGTGACTCTGAAAGAATGAAACAAATGGTAGGTGCACTGAAGCCACCTAGTTCACTAGCACCCCACACTTTCATCCTAGGGAAGAGTGGGGAACAGTGAACAGGCTCCCACAAAGCAGACCAAATGCTGCCTATAGCCACATAGGTTTCCTCCTGGAAGGCGACAACTGCTACCATCCACGCAAGGCTCCAGCCTGACTGCTTCTGCACGGCTTCTCCTCCACACCCAGCTGCTGAGCTGGGACGGTTCCCGTGGAGCATTATCAGAGCGCCCGTGAGCCCCGCCTGAAGAAAGGCCTCTTCCTTTATAGTCGAGGTGGACACTCTCCCGTGCAGGGCTACCTGCCTTTGGCCTCCCTCCTCTTACTTCTTCTCCCCAGAGACTCACACAGTGCTCCTGTTCCTGGGGAAGCAGAGCCCTCGAGGTGTGGACGGGGGGCAGATGGCTTAGGGCTGAGCTCACCACAAAATCTCAGCCCTCAGTCACAGACACTAGTTCAGGGAATGGCCTGTACCAAACAGGCTGGAATAAACAGAGAAAATGTGAGTTAGAGATTCGGGGGGAAAGAAACTCTCTCAGAAAAAAAGTTTTTCTCTCCCTCTGGGTCGTGAGGCGTGGTATAAGGATGTGAGACCAGGAACTGTCATAGCTATTTTATTGCGAAGAGGGAAGCCCATCCGAAGACAAACCTGACTACACCAAAGAAGAAAGTTGAGAGAAGTACAGAGAAATGGGATCAGAGCCCGATAATGTAGTGAGCTGCTGGGCGAACCTTGCCTGAACCTGAACTCTGGATTTTTCAATTATATGAGCCAGTAAAATCTGTTATTTTTACCATGGTACGTTTTCTGTTCTTGTAACCAAAGCATCCAATATGATACATCCCAACTGCTGCCAGAAGAGAGAAGGGAACCAACGCTGTATACCTATGTGCCAGGCTAGGAGCTCAACATGCCTTCTATCACTTAATCCCTGCAACGGGAGAGGTTTTCTCACAACCCTCCTTGAAGAGTTGAGACAGCCTCTAAGTGGTTAATACTTTTTTGTTTTAATATTATTTTTATAACTCAGCTTAAACAAGGCCACGTTTTATAGGATTACTCTAAAGAAAGTGGCTACAGGAAAATTGCAAAATTGAGCAGAAAGTCACAGCTTACCTCTGCTCTTGGCAGTTGTGGTTTCTCTGGATTTGCCTTTAGGTGTCTCTTTGTGATATTCTGAATCCCACCTCTTCTGAGCTGAAACAGGCACCAAGGGGATAGAGGGCAGTTTCAGGCGCCACTCCGGCCCAAGTGAGTTCATGAGAGCTCTGGTCATTCTGGAAACAAAGGCAGGATTACAGGGAGGTTTCCGGCTGGGTTAGATGTTCCTCCTCTCCTAAACCCAGAGGAGGTGTATGAGAGTCAGAGTTATCATCTTCCCTCGATAACTCTTTATACCCTGACATGCAGCAGGAGAGGAACATGAGTGCCACCACAAAAGTCGTCTCAGTTTAGCCACCATGACGTTCCCTCCCTGCCTGGCCCTCGTTTGGTCAGACCAAAGTGGTGACCTTTTGTTGCCTGGTAAGGGTACTTAAATGTACCTTAACCCAAAAGCACCACACATTCCCTAAGGAAGGAGCATGTTTTATATTTTTTAACGGATTATAAAGTGATGCAAGCACCTGATTTTGGATTTATGCTCAGAGATTTTTTAGAATGAAAATCTTATATCATTCTCAAATTTTAAAATCCTTCTGTCTTTTTCATTTCCCTAGGGCAGTGGTCAGCAAACTGCGGCTCATGAGCCACATGCAGCTCTTTGGCCCCTTGAGTGTGGCTCTTCCACAAAATACCGACTTCTGTGCATGGGCCACGAAGTTTCAATCGCACTGTACGTGCGGGCCCGCACGTGGTATTTTGTAGAAGAGCCACACTCAAGAGGCCAAAGAGCCGCATGTGGCTCGCCAGCTGCAGTTTGCTAACCACTGCCCTAGGGTAGTGGTTCTCAACCTTCTGGCCCTTTAAATACAGTTCCTCATGTTGTGACCCAACCATAAAATTATTTTCATTGCTACTTCATAACTGTAATGTTGCTACTGTTATGAATCGTAATGTAAATATCTGATATGCAGGATGGTCTTAGGCGACCCCTGTGAAAGGGTCGCTCGACCGCCAAAGGGGTCGCAACCCACAGGTTGAGAACCGCTGCCCTAGGGCCTGATATCTGGTCCCCTCTCACCTCTCCCTCTTTATTAGTTGCCACATTCCCTCTTTAAACAAAAAATATTTTTTTATTGATTTTAGAGAGGGAGTGGGAGAAACATCAATGATGAGAGAGAATCATTGATTGGCTATCTCCTGTACGCCCCCTACTGGGCATCGACCTGCCCTTTATGGGAATTGAACCTGGGACCCTTCAGTCGGCAGGCCAAGGCTCTATCCACTGAGCCAAACGAACTAGGGTGCCACATTCCCTCTTGATCCTTATGTTTAAGCTTCTGCACACGGCTGTCCTCTTCCTGGAACAATCTCTCCCACTTCCCAGTCCCCGTACCCACCTTCTAGGCCAGTTAACTTGCTCAAAATGCTGCTCAGCGACCATGTCCAATTTGTCAACTGTACTATAGCACCTAGCATATCATTACCTGGCACCCATCAAGATTTAAGAAGTGTGTGTTCAATGAGTGAATAAAGCCAACTGTATGCCTTTTCTGCTTTTACAACCACATTCCTATAATACTAGGATGAAAACAATACAATGATATCACTGCAAATTCATGGTCTCTATTTTTTTGTTCAGCAGCTATTTTAATCCTCTCATCTCTTCCACTCTGCTCCCTAACCCTCCCCCTCCAAATACAAACATACCTGCCCAGGTACCCAACCTTCCTATGTCTCTCTTGTCACAACAGAAGAGCTGACAAGGCCAATCCCTCCACCTAAGCTCTGGACCCCATTTCTTCCTGCCACACTCAGCCAGCATCTCCCTCTTCTGATCTTCATGTTTCTTTCTGCTGACTCCAACTACCAGCATTTAACTCTTTCCTCACTTAATACAACCCCCCTGGACAGCCCTCTGCCATTGCAGCTACACTCCTCTGCCGCCTCACAGCCAGACTTCTTGAACCCACTGCCATCTGATCCCTTTGAAACACTTCTACCAGAATCACCAGTGACTTCTTCCTCAGCCCTGAGTCTACTTGAGCTCACTGAAACACCTGACACGAGTGACAGCTTCATCCTCTGGAAATACTCCTTCCCGTGTGACACTTAATGCTTCAAGTTTCCCCCCACTGCTCCAGCTGCTACTCTTCTGTAAGTCCCTGAAACGCAAGAATTTCTCAAAGCTCCAACCTCTTCTTCCTACATACTTGCTGTGTTCTTTTCCCCGACAACCTCAATTCACCTCTACACTGGCCTCAAACCTGAAGGTGTATGGTGTGCTTGCCTATTACTGATAGGTTTTCTCCATGAGACCAGGAGCTCTAACCGGGCAGGAAGAGGTATGTCTTGGGCATCAGCCCAGGCCCTAATGCAAAGTCTGGCACACAAGTGGCAGAATTTGTTGAATGATAGAAATAAGAAAAGGTAGAGAGAAAACAAGTCAAGCCAGACATGACACATAGATATATACCATGAAGTCCTAACAAGGGTTTTCTCTGAGTGTGGTATCTGGCTTTCTAGCAGCCCATGCAAAGAAGGGCAACGTGATCAATCACGCCAATGAGGACATCCATGAAATGTCAATGGCTGAGAGGCCTTGTGAAGGGGCCGTAGTACAATATATTGAACCATATCCACAAGCAATATCCCCATAGCCTTGTGTCTGAGCTGCCTGTGCTTGGGTCTTACTTTCCCCACTCTAGTTAGCTCTTTGAAGCAAGTGGTGTTTGTATCTCTTTTTCCTACAGAACCTGGCACAACACCTTCAACAGAGCTCAACAAATTACTACTATGTGAATGAATTTAAGCACCTAGGCAAAAACAAACAAAACAAAATCCAATTCATCAATCCTGACTCCTTAACACCTACCAAATATGATAGCAAATTCTCCTTCCACACTTCCCAATAAGGTCATTAGGAATTTCTAAGCCAATCCCAAAGGGATCCTGTAAGGTGAGCAAAGTGACAGTTCTAAGCTAATGACAGAGGGCCCGCAGTTCCAGAGGAAATGCCTGAGGTGACCCAGGCTCACCTGTTGACGCCTTCCAAAGCTGACATCACGCTGTCATCAATTTGCAGCACAGTCTTGTAGTCCACGTAGGCCAGGGGATACTTCTCCAGAGCCTCATAGGCCGAAGCTCGCCGCAGCAACGGCTTCATGCTGAAGGGAACCAAGGCCAGTGCTCTAGAGCAGGAGGCAGAGATGTCATCTGGCTGCTAAGTCACCAGGGCTCCCCCCACAGCCCGCCCAGGCAGGCTCAGCTACAGTATTCTGTAATATAGGGGGTCATTTCTGGCAGAGACACTACTAAAAATGTCAAACCTTACAAGAGGGACTTTCCAACTTAGACTGAAGTAGGGAAAGGAAAGTGAGCAGACTGCCACTGATACTGTGAAAGCTGTATGCACGTGCATCAATTTTCATAGCTGCAATCCCCCCAAAATCAAGAACAAGAACAAGTACTTTGTACCTTTCATGCTTCTATGTGTTTCCAAAGAATGGTGGCCTGATGGGAATACCACAGAGGCTTTGGAGTCAGATGGAGTGGTGTTTGAATTCTACCTCTACCATTAACCATGTGATCCCAGGCAAATCACTTTACCACCTCAATTCTCTGCAGCCCAGTTCTAGCCTGGGAAGGATGGTAAATTTAACCCACAGAATGACCATAAGTGCTCTAAGAAGGAAACTTAGCACAGGCTACATGAGCACGCTCACCTCTCTCATCTATCACCAGGGCATGGATCTAGGATATCAGATCTAAGAACACATTAAGGTATGCATCCTAGTTTAGCGATGGTGAAAGAGGCAACACCAGATTTGCCTGAAGAAGAAAGTATGAAAAATTGTTTAATGTCCTCTACACCTGGTCATTGATGAATACCATTTTCTCCTTTCTTCTTGCTTCTTTCCCAGCTATCTATTAATCTCTCTATATCTCTCTCTACTTTACTCTCTCACATATATCCATCCCAGAATAAACCTGGGCAAGCCACTAACTAGTCTACAACTCTGCCTCAACTCCAGATCCCAAATCTCACAAAGATTTCAAAGATACAAGACAGGGGCCACAGAGATCAAATATTCTCAGTGACCTGGGGACAGTGACACTTCCTAGTATCTATCACAGATGTAACTGGCAGGATCAGTCAAAGAAGAAACAGGCCAGATAAACCCCGCTTCCTCTTCTGAGCCCCTCAGGCACCCCGAAGTTTCCCTGGACTGCTTACGAAGTGCAATCTTTGATGCAATCTCTGCAGTTCCCATCCTTCAAGTGGCATGCTGCTCGGTTGGAGTAGAGAACACTTTCTTCTTTATAGTCCAAAGAACCTGCCCAGGTGGAAACAGAAAACATGAGATTAACAATTTGGGAAATGGATGCCTAGGGACACAAGGTGCATTTCACACACTGAGCTCTCTGGGCTTTGGTAAAAGGGAGCAGAAATGCCTGTAACCTGATCAGGCTTGCTGGTCTGATAGGCTGGCAAGTTCACCACTAGCACTTGGCAGCGAGAACGCCAAGCATCTTATTCACTCATGCCAGCACTAAACTTGGTACCAGGCAAAAAATGAACATGAGATAGCTAGCTTCTGCCTCAGAGAAATCTATACTGGTGTGTGTGTGTGTTAATTTTATTACAAAAGACATGTAAACATACAGATCTTACAACATGGAAATCCACACCTGAAACCCGTATGTTCATGTTGACCAATGCCACCCCAATAAATTTAATAAAGCCGTGGTTCCCCCACCCAAAAAAGAAAACATGTAAATCATACAAAGAAAAATAAAAGGAAAAGATAAAAGACAGACTAATTCTACCTGCTCAAATCAGACAGGACTTTGCTAGGGGAAAATCCCCTGGGTCTGGCAGGACTAGGGAGAACTTAATCGGGAAAGGACTCAAGCTCCCCAATGGGGAGGAGATTTATCAGACATTTCTCTACGGGCAGTCCTCACCTTCAGGAATCTCAGAAGCTCATGTCCTTTGCTGTGGCCACAATAATTTTCAGTTTTAAAAGTATTTTTTCATCCACTGCATACCCACTAACTAGCATGGGCCATAGTGAAAAAATAAAATAAAAAGGAAACTATTATGTGTTGACCCAGTAATTCCACTCCCCAGTAATTCCATATACCCAAAATAATTGAAAACAAGTTCTCTTTTAAAAATTGTAAAACATACAGAAAACAGTATAACAGATACTCAGTATCCATCACTAGACCCAGCATATGTTTCCAACCTTTAAAATTTTTTTATATGGCTAACGCTCCACTCATCCCCATCCTTTCCCCTCTGTACTGTCCCCAGAACCCTAGGTGTCAGCACAATCCTGAAGTCGGTATGTAACATTCTCATCCATGTTTGTCTATCTTTATTATCTATGTAATAACAGCTAAGATATTTTATATCTCTCAAAGCTTTTCCTAAGTGGCACTCTATTGTCTATCCTTATGCAACTTGCTTTTTCTCTAAGTATGTTACCATACTGATGCATATCTTCTACTTAATACCAACAATAACAAATAACTTTTTTTTCTTATTTTTCCAGGCCCTGAATGAGACAGCAGTGTACAGAGATAAGTAAAATATATCCTTGCCCTTAAGGAGCACGTACAAGCACTCAAGACCTGTAATCCATCTCAAGTCCCCAGAACATGGGTGCTCAGAAGCAGCAGTGGTGTGGTGGCAAGGGCATCAGAACCTGCAATCCAGCCTGTGATACTGCACAAGCCACTCACTCCCTCTGATATGTGCTTACTTCACACACTTGCTGGAAGGGTTCACTGTGCTAGGTTGATCCCTAGTTTTCTTTTCAAACAGAAAAACTAGAGAAATCAAGGGATTTGCCCATAGATTATCTAGAAATGGGTAAGAACCAGACTCTGATCCCCTAAATCTATATACCATGCCAGCTCTTCTACGGACCCAGAATGAAGCCATACAAAAGCACATGCTATTCCAGGCAGGGTAGGGTAGGATGAAAGAAAATGGCAGAAGTATCAATGTCTCAGATTATTCAGCGACCTCAAGTGAGGCTGAGAGGAGCAGGTGGGCCTAAAAAGGAGTGTTCTAGAACAAAAGAAGGGGGCAAGAGTGGTTTGAAACTGCAAAAGTTCAAACAAAAAAAAAAAGACTACAATTTGCAAAGGATTTGGGGAAAAGTCTAGTAAAATGATTAAAAACTTGGACATGGGAATCAGATAGACCCATATTAAAACCCTGCCTATGACATGTCTTCATTGTATAATCCTGGGGCAGGCAATTTAACTCTTCTGGGCTCATCTATCAAGTCTTTTTTTTAAAATTGCCATATGGCAGAATTGTATGGTTTTATTAACACAAATACAATGTGTACACATCTGTCTATTCATTTTCTTTGCTGAGCAGTCTGGCATGGGCATTGGCAGCTGGGCTGCTTTCCCACAATGGGTTTACGGTTCTTTGAGGAGACGTTGTGAGCAATCTCAGCGCAGTAAGATTTGTTGCACATCAGCAGCACTTCAAGCTCCTTGACATTGTGGACCAGAAATTCCAAAATCCACTGGGCAGCACATGCTTTGATTTCTTGTTGCTTCCATAACCAATGCTGGGCATCAAGGTCTGGCCCTTGAACCTTCTGCACACTCTATTGTCCATTAGTGCCTCTGGGTTTCTGCCAGTTCTGCTTAATTTTGACATAATTGGTCTGACTGGTGTCAGATTAACTTCTTGATCCTCTTTTTGACGGTCTTGGGTTTCACAGGGGGTCTGTGCGGAGTAGGAGATGGCTGTAACCTCCATAGGAAGTGCCGAGGAAGAATATAAAGTGTCTTAGTCATAGGTTAGTATAAAGATATAAAGGGATAATGTCTACAATGTCTACCACACAGTAAATCACTCAACAATGCCAGCCAAACAAATGAGAAAGAGAAAAGGCAAAGGGAAATCGGTACACAGAAAAAGGATTCCAATGAGGGCTCCTTGGTAAGACACCTGGGAGAAGAGGTTTTGGGCAAAGGGCTGTTGCCATGAGCTGGAGTCTAGGAGAACTCATAAGAATACGCTACTCCTCTGTTTAAAACTCTCTGAATAAAACCCAAACTCCTTACCATGACCTATTGCGTAAAATGTCTACACAATAAGGTTCTGCCTGTCCAACTGACCTCACCTTACTTCTCCCTCCACCAGCTCAGTAGGCTTTGGCTCCTGGGACACACACCACACTTCTTCGCCTAGGTGCCTTTGTACAGGTATACCTCAGCGAAATTGTGGGTTCAGCTCCAGACCACCACAATAAAGCAAGGAGTAATCTTTTTGTTGGTGGAGGATCTTGTCTTCCACTTGTAAAAAATCACAACATCTGTGAAATACAATATGACGGTGTATGCCTTAATTACAGTTCCTTCCACCTGAAATGCTCAGCACCCAAAACTTTGCACCTGGCTTCTCATCCTTCAGACGTCACCTCAAATGTCACCTCTTCAAAGCTGTCCTTGATCCCCCATTGTAATGGAGCTCCCTACTCAACTCTATCACATCACCATATTTGCCTTCTACGTACCCCTACTTGTTACTGGACAAGTCTTATTTACTACCTTGCGATCCACCCCTCCCCCCAAAACAGGAATGTATGATGGTTGAGAGAAAGGGCCTTGTCTGTCTTATTAGACACTCAGTACATACAGGTGCTCAACAAGTAAGAATTTAGTTGAAGAATAAATGGTGAAGGAGAAGGAGAGTTGAGCTATGTATCTGCAGGGGTCGGAATGAGGCCTGAATAACAGGATGGGAGCCAATAGGACACTTAAAAAGCAGGCAACTCATACCTATCAGGATGGCCACTATCATCAAAAGAACAGAAAAGAAGTGCTGGTGAGGATGCTGAGGAGTTGGAACCATTACGCACTGTTGATGGGAATGTAAATGGTGCAGCAAGTATGGAAAACAAAACTATATGTGATCCAGCAATCTCACTTCTGGGTATATATGCAAAAGAATTCAAAGCAGGATCTTGGAGATTCAAACAAACAAACAAAAAAGTGGGATAGCCTTACAATGGAATATTATGCAGCTTCAAAAAAAGAAGGAAATCCTGCCACAGGCTACAAATGGATTATAATGTCCTTGAGGACGTTATGCTAAGGGAAATGAGAGTCCTAAAAGACAAATACCGTATGATCTCACTTTTTCAAGTATCTGAAGTAGTTAAAATCAGAGATACAGAAAGTGGAAAGGTATACCAAGGGCTGAGGGAGGGGGATTAGTGTTCAGTGGGTATTGAGTTTCGGTGCTGCAAGATGAGAAAGTCCTGGCGATCTGTTGCACAACCATGTGAATAATATTCCACTTCACAGTATTCTTAAAGGTGACTAAGACGGTAAACTTAATGTTTTTACCATAACCAAAAAGTGGTAAAAGAACCTATTACTATGAAAATATGTTTCTGACCTGTCATCAAGTGGAAAAGAACCAGTAATAAAACCACGTGACTTTTTTCCCCCCCGAGGAGGAAGGGCCAAGGAAGTTTCTCGCAGGACGCCCACGCGGGGAACGGGCGGGGGGCTGGTGGGCGGTCGGCCTCGGGGAATGGAAGCCCCAGGGCGGCAGGGACGGAGCGGGCTCTGGGTAGCGGGGGCCGGGGGGCCGGGCGAGCAGCAGCCCTGGCGGAGGAAGCGGGGCCAGCGTGTACCTTGCTCCTGCATCACCCGCAGCGCGCGGCTGTAGAGCGAGGCGGCCTCGGAGAACTGGCCGTTGCGGAAGCTCTGGTTGCCGGCGGCGCGCAGCCGCTCCGCAGAGTCCGAGAGTTTGGGGGCCATCCTGGGGTCCCGCGGCAAATGGCTGGCGCCTCCGTTCCCGCCGCCGAGGCTTGCGGAACGGCGTCCGGGGGAAACACCGGCTGCGAGCGCTGGGTCCACGGGTAACCTGGCCGGGAGGGGGCGGGACCGAGCGGGCGGAGGCGCGGCCTGCGCGAACCGGTGGCCCGCGGAGCCGCCCTCTGCGCAGGCGCATGCTCAGTGCGGGGCTAACGTTGCCGAAGCGCGCTCCGCCTCGAGCTGTGCGGGGCCCCTGGGGTTGCTAGGACGCCACGCGGGAAACCGTGCGAGAGGCCAGGTCCCTGCTCACACGCGCTTACACGCTAGGGGGACCTGACAGGCAGTTAACCCAGGAGCGAACGAAGAGGAAAATCCCATGTTATTATTAGTGCTGGAAGGAAAACACGAATGCATAGAAAGGGGCCAGGTGGAAACTGTTTTCCCTAAGGGGCTAGGGGAAGGCATCTCAGGGACTAGTAATGGAGCCGAGACCTGAGAATATGTAGGCAGGCAGAGGGATAGCGAGAGTAGAGGCCCTGAGGCTGGAAGCTAACTGGCACCTGGTGCTTTAGGGACACAATAAATAAATGCACCGAGAAGTTGATAAGATCTTCCGCTGAGGGAAACCAGCTTATCTTCAGCCTCGTCTGACCTAATGTCCCACTTACTACTCAGAAAATGTTGAACTGCTTGTTGCTACCTGCACACAGTAAGCTGTTCCGCTTGCGCCCTAACCTTTGCGTATGCTCTCTTCTCCTGGCATTTTTCCCCCAAACACTTTTTCTTTTGCTTTATCCTGACTCAACCTATAATCAACTCAAATACGAGTATCTCCTCTGAAACCCTTTCCTGAATACTCCTCCCCTCTTCCATTATGTCCCTCCTCTTCCTCCTGAGGTTTATCCCTAATTTAGCACTTAGTGCTCCGATTGCCCAGGTGTTTTTTTTTTCTCCCCAAAGACTTTGAATTCTTTAAAGGTAGGAAGTAAGTCTTTGTCTCCCCAAGACCTAATAGGACCTGGCACCCAACATGCACTTACAAAGTTTGTTGACAAAGACCTGGTCTCTGCCCTCAGGAATCTAGTTATAATTATTTGTTTAAATTCTTAACCCACACCAGACTGTGAACTTTCTGAGGGCTAGGTGGCTGTTCCAGCTGAATCCTCAGCCCAGCTGAGGCCCGTAAAAGAGGAAAGAATGAGCACATAATGTGGAGGGGAAACCAGATGAGACACACACAGCTGGCCATCTACTCAACATACCCATTTTTGCTTCCGGAGCCTAAATTTTGCCAGAGATTCTCCTGGCCCAGGAAATGATTCAAGATTTCTCTAAACTGTTAACCAAAGGTCATCACTGCCAATTTAACACCAACAGAAGTCCCCAATTTGAGGGGTGGTAAAGGGGGAGGGGGAACCCACAGGACATCTTCAGTGAAAACTGCTCAGTTGTGAAACATCTCAATGGTGAGGTGGGCTGGGCATGAGGCAGCTCTGGTGCTATGGCTCTGGCCAAGTAAATGCAGCACTCACGAGAAACCAAAAGCCATCCTCAGAGTGGAAGCTGGATTTATATAGAGAAGAGTGGCCACCCTCAGCCACTGATTGGCCCATTTCTATGCAAATAAGGACTCCAAATCCTCACTGTATGATGGGTCCCAATAGCACTTATCCTAACTGGTCAGAATGGAGCTACTCTGATTAGTCATTAAAGATACAAATGAGTACAGAGCTGTGCAGCTCCTATTGGTAGAAATTCGATCCCAGGAATTCCTTTATAAGGGTCAGCTCAGCTAGTCAGAACACAGTGCAGTAGGCAGGCAGTTCATGCTTTCTCTGAAGCATGGCATGAGAGACCCCTATTTAGCACCAGCTGCTAGGCTCTATAAATTTGAGCCCAATTAGCCACCAGGAGCCCTTCTTAACAGGCACAGAGTTAACATTACCAACAACAGTAATCTCATTCTCTTTTGCCAGTTATTGAGAATGTGATCTGACCTGTCCAATGAGATAAGAGGATGTCTGCTGGGTGCTCATGGGACAGTTTTGTATTTTTTCTTGAAGAGAGAGTCAGGTCTTCGAGATAGCCTTTTTGCTCTTTTTCTGCTTTGGGTAGTGTTGATGTGGTTGCCATTTTGGGTTGTTTTTTTGTGTGTGTGTGTTTTTTAACTCCTTTTGGGAGTTTTTATTTATTTATTTTTGTTGTCAATCCTCACTCGAGGATATTTTTCCATTGATTTTTAGAGAGAGTGGAAGGGAGGGGAAGAGACATAGAGAGAAAAACATCCATGTTAGAGACACATCCATTGGTTGCCTCCCACACACATCTGACCCGGGCCAGGGATGGAGCCTGCAACCAAGGTACTGGAATTGAACCCAGGCTCTTCAGTTCACTAAGCCAAACTGGCTAGGGCTGTGGTAGCCATTTTGTAAGCAATAAATGCACAAATAGAAAAAGCCAAGGTGCTGTGTAGGACGAATTTGACATTGTTGAGCCACTGAATTAACCCAGAATTAATAAACGAATGCCATGGTTCCTTAAGTCACCATTTTGATGATTGGTGTTGTGTTTTGGTTTCTTTTTAAGTTGCTTGCAGCTGGATATATTCTAAATGGTACACTACACAAATACACTTGTGGCAAATTGTAGTTTTCAAAAATGGACAAAACAGTATTTCCACTCCTCCTTGCCCTTCCAGAAACTTGCAACTCCCCCACCAAGAGATAGAATCTGTGTCTGCTCTCCTTGAAATGGGTGGGCCTTTGGGGTCCCATCAACAGTGGAAAAGACATTCTGTACCTTCCAAAGCTAATGTCTATCTTCTGGAAAAATCCTGGGGAGGGGCCAAAGGAGGGATGTTTGGTATTATGTATTGATAAATTGACTTTATTTTTAAACATGTTTACTGAGTACCTATGCATCTAGAGCAGCGGTTCTCAACCTGTGGGTCGAGACCCCTCCCTTTGGGGGTCAAACGACCCTTTCACAGGGGTCGCCTAAAACCATCGGAAAACACATATATAATTACATATTGTTTTTGTGAATAATCACTATGCTTTAATTATGTTCAATTTGTAACAATGAGATTGGGGGTCACCACAACATGAGGAATTGTATTAAAGGGTCGCGGCATTAGGAAGGTTGAGAACTGCTGATCTAGAGGGATGAGTATGTAGGCAGAATGGAAGATTAGATCTTTCAAGGAGGAAAAACCCCAGTGGGCAGCAGGGTCTGAACATAAGGTAAAGTCAAGCCGTATAGGAAAAGTGCTAGGGGATTTCAGAGGACTGAAAATTGGCTTCTTGAAGGAGGGACCTGTGAAGGCTTCCTGAACTTTGTAGGAACTCTCCTGGGTCTCAACTTCCTCAGGGCTCCCACTGCCATTTGTACAGATTTCTAACAGACCAAACTGACAAATAAAATGTGAATTTTCTGGAGTCAGGATAGTCTTGGGTTAAAATCTTTGCTCTCACTAGCTTCCTAACCTATAAACTGGGGATAATAACGCTTACTTCATAGTATTGTTTTAAGGATCAAGTGACAATCTAGGATTATAGACGGTCCTCTGTAAATGTTCTCCTCCTGTGTCAGGATAATGGCTCCATTATCCCATTTTTAGAATATGGGGTGCCATATCTGGGTAGCCCTCAAAGTGGTTTGCTCAGGTATTAAGTTTCATAGATGGCATAGGGGAAAAACAGGACAGTCAGCAACAACGAAAGGTTACTCTGGGTAAGCTGCTCCTGTAACTATCCCCATGGTAAATTGGGTGGCATCTGCCTTTTTCCTAACCCTCATTGATGGTGGTGGCAACTGAAGATGTACCCATGGCAATAGTTTAAACTGGAGCTCAGAGAGGAAAGGAAGCTTTCTGATTCTGATGTTCAATTAGTGGGTACATATCAATGGTTGTCAGTTTGGTGGTGCAGGCTCCAGAATGAGACATCACATCCCTAAACCTGCATTATTAGCTCTGTGCTCTTCATCTCTGTGGCCTTGGGAGAGTAATATTACCATACTTACCGAGTTGATCGGAGTGTTAAATGAGTTAATATTAATAAAGCACTGAGAAGGTAGTAAGCACTGTGTTAAATAACACAAAAAACTGAGGATAACGTTACAGGCTTGATATAACCATTAAAGGAGGTAATACATGAAAGCGAGTACATAGCAAGAGCTTCATAAACATTAGGTATTTTTATGTCTGCCAAGTGACACGAAGGTGAGGCAGTTGAAAGGGGTAGGGCAGTTTGCAGGCTGCGGCTCTGTGGCATGCAAGGACTGGGTATGCAGGCCCAGCCTCCATCTGGAAGAACGCAACCCGGCAAGAAAGCTAGAAAACCACCAATACCTCCAGGAGTCCCTGGAGCAGCGCTTCCCGGGAATCGCGTACGACGTGGCTTGTTAAGAATCCGCCGTTCCTATCAAGCCGGCGCTTCGCAGGAAGTCCCGGCACCTCCGTCTGAGAAAAGAGGGGTCGCGATTGAGGCAGAGATGGGTTCCAGGCCCGGGGACCCACTGTCTTGGGCAAACAGCGTCGCAACGAGACATCTTCGAGTCCCGAGCCAGGCTTAAGCCGCTCAGGACAAGAGCCTCTACTGTTCTGGGTCCACGCCCCTGCGCACCACGTGACGCCGGCCGTCCTCGCGGCCCCGCCCAGCTCCCCGCGCCGCGCACCGCTTCCGGTGTGGGCGGAAAGCGGAAGTGTGGGAGGGTCTGCGGGGCGGGCTCTGGGAGGTCCTCGGGGAGGATGGAGCACTGAGCGGGTCAGGGCGGCTGCCGGCAGCGCCATGGAGACGGTGCAGCTGAGGAACCCGCCGCGCCGGTGAGGGGCCGCTGGCTGAGAGGAAGGGGGTGGGCGAGGGAAAGGCGGGGGCTGGCGGAGGAGAGCCAGCCGTGTGCGAGCCCCCGGGGGCAGGGACCCGCGGGGCGTGGCGACCCGGCTGATGGGGCACCTGCTGAATGGGGGACCTCCGGCGGATGGGGCTCCCGAGGGCATCACGCAAGGAGGGGATCAACGTGGGGCTGGTTAGGGAGAGCACTTGCTGAGGGGACGTTCTGGGGCGATGCTAAAGGGAGCAACTGCTGAGGGACCTGGAGACAAGTTAGGGAGAGCACCTGCTCAGGGGGTGGGGGTGGAGGAGGTGCTATCGGGGAGGCCAGCCTAGCGGGGACTCGCCGAGATGCGGGGAATGCTGGAGGAAGATGAGATCTTATGAGGGGTCCGTCTAAGGGGGATCCGGACGAGCAGCGAGGAGGGCGGGGTGGACTCCACGGGAGGGAGTCCCACCCGAGAGGCGCCGGGCGTGGAGGATCTGGTGAGGCGGAAGCTTTGCTCCGAAGGGGTACCGTGAAGGGGTGAAGGTCTGGCCAGGGAAGGCTTCGAGGAGGATGGCATTTAGGAAGACGATCCTGGTAGGGTCCTCACTCTGTCATGGTGATGGCATCTTTCATTCCTGATATCCAGTGTTTTATTCGCCTCACGCCCTCCACGGCCCCTCAGAACCCAGTGTTGGGAGGTAGGTAAGGAAACAGAATATTTTCAAGATGGGCACGTGGAGGCCTAGGTTAAGATCTGAGGCACAGTCCTGTGAGTTTCCTTCTTTGCTCTAGGTCTGGGTCACTGGGCCCTGTCCGGGCCTCTATTGTGTTGTGAGTTTCAGCTCCAGATCCCACAGCTACCTGGAATTGTTTCAGGCCAGGCTCAGGAAGGTGGCGGAGCCTAGGAAAGCTGCCCTCCTGGGTTGGCTGCAGTGGTAGCGTTGATTTGCTCTGTGGACACCAGGGTCTTAAGTCAGTCACTCTGCCGCGTCTGGAGAACAGGAGACAGTAGCGACGGAGGGAGTCGTGCTTCTCTGAGGTGCAGCATAGCTCGCTGCTGCTTCACAGAGACCTCTGACTTCCTGCAGCCGAGTGAGCACTGAAGTAGGAAGTGTTGAGTGTGTGGGAGTGTGGGGCAATGGAGAGGTGAAGGGAGGGGATTGGCAGCCTGGGCTGCGCACTCGGGGTTTGTTTTTGAAGTGCACAAACTGCAGGAGGCAAATAGCCGGTTCGTAATTCACCCCGTGCGATGTGCCGAGACCGAAATGATAATGGTTATTACACGCATAGAGCACTTACTGAATGCCAGACCCTGTTTTTGGGGCGCTTTCTTGGTCTCCTGTTGAACCATATGAAATTGCGGATCTCTGGCCATTTTTGACCTATAAAAATGGTAATTCTGTGTTACTCCATTTATTATGGACCCATGTGGCCCTCACCACAATTCTCTGTGGTGGCTATTTCTGTGTCTGTTGTACAGGTGATAACACCGAGGCACAGAGAGGTTAGTCGTGTGTTGGAGGTCCCACAGTTAGTACGTGGCAGAGCGGGAGTGTTAATCCAGGCGGTGTGGTCCAGAGCCCGTGCTCGGACTGCCTCACTCCGATGCCTCTCTGGAAATACCCCTGTTTCACAGGGCCTCCCGGGTATCAGCAAGATCTGCAGTCGCACGTAGTGATTCGGTTATAAAGGTACACTGGTTACATTTTTTTTTTCCTGAAACATGTTCCAAGTCTTCGGTTTAATTGAAAGACGATTAGGTATCTGAGTTTTTTTTTCTACCTTTGCCTTATGCTGTGTAATCTTGGGCAAAAGAGTAAGCCTTTTTGTTTTTTGACACTCCTGCACCTTTTGGATTTTAAAAAATGTATGAAATGTGCAAGAAAAGAGCATCAAAGGGCTGAATTTTCACATGACTGGTGCTTGCCTGCTCTCATAACTAGTGAAGTGCCTTCTTTGCAGCAGATTAACTTTATCATCATTTGTACTAGTTTGTTAGGGCTGCCATGTCAGTTTCACAGGCTGGGTGACTTCGACAACAGAAATTCATTTTCTCATAGTTTTAGAGGCTGGAAGCCTGAGATCAAGGCATCTGTAGGGTTGTTCCTTTTGAGGCCTGTCTCTTTGGTTTGTAGATCGCTGTCTCCCTTCTATGTCTTCATATCGTCTTCCCTTTGTGCCCATCTGTGTCCTCATCTACCCTCATAAGGACACTAGTCATGTTGTATTAGGGCCCACCCAGATGACCTGATTCTACATTAATTACCTCTTTAAAGGCCCTGTCTCCAAACACAGTCACCTTTGGAGGTACTTCAACATATGAATTTGAGGGGGCGGGGAACACATTACTTTTATTATCATTAAAAACTTCATCAATTTATCTTATTTATGTGTTGCAACCCATCCACATTGAATACTGTGTGGAAAGAGGCGTGGGTGTACATAAATAAAATGAACCGTACTGGAGTTCTAAGATGGGAGAAAGAAGTTTGAGATTTAGCCAGACCTGTAAGTAACTACTTCATAAACACCCTTGTTTGGGTTGGAAAGGTGCAGGGGTCTTTTCAGAGGTTCAGTCTGTATGTGTTTCTAGCAATCCCAATGTAGGAAATGCTCTTTGTGCTCGTGAGTTAGACATTTGTGTGTGACTGAGTGATGATAGATTAAAGCTGATGGTTATGTAGGAGGTTGATTGGTAAAGTGAGTTGCCATTAGGGAATAGTGTGGCGGAAGGTGTAGAGTGCATTTCTGGGATGCTTGCCATGCACGTGGCTATGTGACTTAGGAGAAGAGCATCTGCTGGTATTTGGTCCATGGAGGCTGTGTTGGCCACGCCTGTTGGTTTCTGAGTAAGCTGTGAAACTACCTAGGACCTGGGCAAATCCCAGCTGAGAGAGCTGAATCATCAGAGTTGGGCTGTTATGGTTATGGTACTTCTTCCATGAAGACGCATGGTGTAAAATATCATTAAGTCACTTGTCAAAAGATGTTTCATAGAAATCCTATTTGTTAATAATCCAGGAATACTTCTCGGGGTGAAATTCTGTGTGGGTGTTTTTGCTGTTGTAAATCCTCACCTGAGGATATTTTTCCCATTGATTTTTAGAGAGAGTGGAAGGGAGGGGGAGCCGGAAAGGGGGGCGGGGAGAGAGAGAAACACCAATGTGATGTGAAACATATTGATTGGTTATGGCTGGGGAAATTTAAACAGTGTTTTCAACCTTCTGGCCCTTTAAATACAGTTCCTCATGTTGTGACCCAACCATAAAATTATTTTCGTTGCTACTTCATAACTGTAATGTTGCTACTGTTATGAATCGTCATGTAAATATCTGATATGCAGGATGGTCTTAGGCGACCCCTGTGAAAGGGTCGTTCGACCCCCAAAGGGGTCGCGACCCACAGGTTGAGAACCGCTGGGACAGAGCCTGCAACCCTTCTGTGTGTGGGCCAATGCTGTAACCACTGAACAGCACTAGCCAGGACGTGAAATTCTATTTTATTTTGAAAACTCACAAAGACTGCTGATAAAGGGTTATGATTCCCATCATTACATTCGTTAATCCATTTAGCAAGTGTTTATTGACCACCTCTGGGTTATCAGGCATCAGTGATATAAAGAACCCTTAAGCCGGAACCAAAAACAAACAAAAGAGCACTTAGATTGTTTTTAAAAAGTACCTGGGCCGTCATGTAAAGTTTGACTTGTCAGAGTATTATCAGAGGCTTGCAGCTGTCTCTCTCGTGGCCGCAGCAGTTTCCTTTGTTATGCCGTGGTCTCCCTGTAGTTGAAATAGTGAGTTTAGTTTTTTGTTAACCACAAAGTCAACTTCCAAGGAACACATTTGATCTTCCTTTATATAAGCTGTTTATAAAACTTTAATTATACTTGAGGAATAAGGTATTGTCCATTGTTTATATGGTTACAAAAAAGTCCCCTGATTTATGAGATGTCATTCTAACTTCTGAGTTCATAGGATTTCACTTCTGCCCTGGCCAGTGTGGCTCAGTTGCTTTAGCCTTGTCCCATGCACCGAAGGACCTCGGGTTGGATTCCCAGTCAGGGCACATACTCGGGTTGCGGGTTCCATCCCCAGTTGGGGTGCATACAGAAGGCCGATCAATGTTTCTCAAATCGATGTTTCTCTCTCAAATCAATAAAAAACATTTTAAAAAAAGAAATTTTACTTCTGAAGTTTAAGAGGAGTTTCACTTCAGCCCTTGATGTTTGGAAGCTGGGAGTTTTTAATGATGTCATTGGAATTTAATTTTTAGGAACTTTTGTTTTTCAAAGGTCACCATGGTCATTTTGTTATGTTAACTTTCAAGTTATGATAATTATTGACTTGGAGTAAAACTCCATTTCTCTAGTACATAGTCTTTGATATTTAGAAAATCCTATTAGATTATTCTTTTTAGATCAGTGTTTATTGGTAGATCCACTTGATATGTCTATAGTTTTGTTATCTTCTGGTTTTGCTATTTTTCTCTAGGAAGTTACACATTTGTGTGTGTGTGTGTGTGTGTGTGTGTAAAATTCAAGTTTTTTTTTGTGTGTGTGTGTGTGAGTGTAGAAATTGGTATTGTTCAGCTAGTTTAAACCTTTTCTTTACAAAGAAATCACCAGTGTGACTACTTCTATATTTCACCATTTCCTGAGCTCTCTTTTCTTTGTTGTCTTTTGTAGTTTCAGGAAGTCATTGTGTAGAAGATATACACAGGCACACAGATATTCCTTAGCAAGCTCCTTCTTTAAGCCTGTTAATACTTCTCAGAGGTCTCGGAGTTTAAAATAATATTATTAATTTATAACCTCCCATGTGTGTTATGGTTGTTTGGCATAGACAGAAAAATCTGAATTATCTGGAAGTTTTAAGCAACCATATATCTTTGATTTTTGGGGACTAGTCAGAGGTACGTGACTACTTGTGGGAGAGTTTTTGTGATACTGTTTGACACTCTCAGCTGCCTAGGTATATTTCACTTTTGATCATGTCTAAGCATATACTTTCTACTTCCTGTTCCTGTGATACCTGTAAAATCTTTGTGTTTCGACAAAATTATCAACAACTTGTTAATGGTGGGCAAGGATCTTCTATGTATTCCTTAGTCTCCAATTTTAAGACCATGTTTCAATTCATAGTTAACTTTACATTAAACCTCTTTTCTGAAGAGATAGTTATACCATTTTAATTCATGGGATATTCAGATTTAAATGAGTTAATTATAAAGGTTACATCCAATGCTTGAATCTACTCTATAGCATTTCAGCCACATGATTTATTTTCTGTTTAAAGCTTCCAGTGATGGGGATCTAGGAATTACTTAAGGCCGTCTAAACCACTTTAGAACTACTGTTTGTTTGTTTTTTAATCCTCACTGAAGGAGTGAGGATATTTTTTAGAGAGAGTGGAAGGGAGGTGAGAAGGGTGAGGTGGGAGAGAGAAAGAGAGAGAGAGAGAGAGAGAGAGAGAGAGAGAGAGAGAGAGAGAGACTGACTCCTGTACGCACCCCGACTGGGGCTGGGGATCAAACCTGTAACCCAGGTATGTGACCTTGACTGGGAATCACGCCAGTGACCCTTCAATGTGTGGGCCGATGTTCTAACCCATGGGCAACACGGGCCAGGGCTATAACTACTCTTGTTACAAAATTCTTACACCTGTTGGACTGAAGTTAGCCTCTTGGTAGCTCTCCACCACCTTGTCCTGATTTTGGGTCATCAGGATGACCCAGGACACATGTTATACTTCCATAGGACAGTCCTTCAGCTGCCCTTAAAAGTCTCTTAGTTTACTTTTGTTGTTGTTTACTAGTGAAGACTTAATAGAGGAATTCCTAAGATGCTAATTTTGTATTTCTTTTTTAAAAAAAATGTATTTTTATTGATTTCAGAGAGGAAGGGAAGGAGAGATAGAAACATCAATGATGAGATAGAATCATTGATTGGCTGCCCTCTTCACGCCCCACACTGGGGATCAAGCCCACAACCCGGGCATGTGCCCTGACCCGGAATCAAACCAGGCACATTGTTTATTTTAAAATTAGCATCTTAGGCCCAGCTGGCGTGGCTCAGTGGTTGAGCCTCGACGTATGAGCCAGGAGGTCACAGTTCAATTCCTGGTTG